AGGATCAGGGGAGGGTTTCAAGGATGAGGTTGCCGGTTCTTGGCTGTTAGATTCATATCTGCCTGCCAATTCTGACACTGCTTGATAGTAGTAGTGACAAGTCTCACGGTTAAATGCCATCGTCACAAAGCTTCTGCCTAAGTAGGGCTCATAACCGCAAAGAGCACTCAAGTGCGAGCCATGCTGGGTAGAAGGGGCCCAACATTGAGAAAGCCTCATATAGCCGCTCAGCGCTTCGAACCGCGGTAGGCCCGCAGCTCGGAACATGAAGGTGCTTAGGGCTTAGAGGGTTCGGGGCTGCAGGGTTTAGGGTTTAGGGTTTTGGGGTTTAGGGTTTAGGGTTTAGGCGGGTTCTGGCTCATGGCTTCCATCCGACTTTGACCAAGGGCTTCATGTTTTTGTTGTCCTGGGTATGGCCTGGGATCGGCTTGGGTCGTCTACTTAGGGGATGATGGGACTTAGTAACTAGGGTTACAAGTAAGGTAACTATAGTTACATCTACCTAGAACCCCAATTAAGATACTTATAACCCTACTTACTAAGGCCCATGACCCTTCAAGTACAGCTATCAGTCTAGCTTTTGACAAATACAAAGATGGGGCTAAGATTTACATTTTGCCTGGTCTAGGAGCGGTTCGACTAAAGGTTTTGAAGGAGGCCTGGGGTCAATTACAGCTCATGCGTTTAGGGCTCGAAACATATCAGGATAGTGTACGTGCGTGTTCCTCATCATGTTTTCATACTTGGCGACCTTCCAATACTTGTCCAGTACCCTGGAACAGATGAACAGAATTCTCACAAGCCAAAACTTTCTAATCCGCAGACCCTACGTTCACACCCGTCTTGAGCACATGGGATTATTCAAACTCATGCACTGATGTCGGAAGCACCGGCATGCCTCGTCCCGGCCAGCATCTGGCCATGCTGCTCGCAAGACCATCCCGGCCGTGATCTGGGAGTTCGTGGCAGTCTTTCGGGTTTACACACCCACCTCGCTTAGGGGGCATCTAAAATGGCACGACACCCAAAAGATTGCAACCAAAACAACTAAAATGTCGGAAGCTGCCGCATATGCTCATGACAGCTGCACTACTCGACCCTACTTAAGTTTGCCTGCAATGTCTTCGATGCATTCAATGTCCACATTTACGTTGCCTAACAAGAGATGCATGCAGGGGTGCAGGGACATGTGGAGAATCAACAACATTTGGATCTAGAGTCTAGAAATTCGACTTACTTTCAGATCCCTTACTGTTCCTGTTATACCTATACAATGTGCCATATATCGAAACCATACTCCGATTCCTAAGGCCCACATTCACGAAGAAGAAGATCTTCCTCCCAACCCTGCCCGCAAACGCCACCCTGCACCTACACCCTAAAACCCACAAAGCAAAATGCAAAACCACAAAGCCGTTAACCCTGCAGCCCTGAGGAGGCTGCTGCATGCAGGAGATGCGTGGTGACGGCGCAGATGTTCATCAGCAGCCTGGTTGCTTCAAGGCTTCGGAGAAACTCTCGAGCAATATGCCAATGCTGAGCGTCAAAGCGCTAGACTCTAAACCGCAAAGACCGAGCCCTAACTCTGCGAATACCGCTACCTTCGAAGTGCTTTGGTTGATACCGAGCAGGCCCGCGTGCGTTTTGCTATAACTAGTCTTTATGTACATATATACATGCATACACATACTTACATACATACATACATAAATACATATTCTGCAGGCATGCATGCATGCAAAGGCTACATACATTCATACATACATACATACATACATAATTACATATATACATACGTATGACTGAATGGGCCACAACTCAGGTAACACGGAAACGCTGGCTGTATTTCCGCCCTCAGAACGAAAGCAGAGCCCCCCGCCTCTGCCATGCGAAGCGGCCGCGCAGGCCTTCATGTCATGGCTTAACACAATGCCAGCGAGGGACTCCAGTGTATGATGACCAATGGTGATCATTGTGATGATGATGATGACGACGATGGTGCTGGTGATGATGATGATGATGATGACTGCTTCTGCTCACGCCGAGTATGCTGAAGCAAAACGATTCTGAAAATGCAGGCGTAGTTCTGCTACGGTTCACACTGCCGCTGGGGATGCTGAAGATGAAAATGCAACCGATGTTGATGACGATGGTGTCGACCAAGAGGCAGACATCAAATACGACAACGACAACGTGCTGGTGCTGGTGGAGGCGGCTTTGGTGCTGGCCGTGGTGGTCGTCATCAACATCGTCAACGTTGTGATTGCCAGCGGTGAGGATGCAGCATTGTTTAGGGTCTGGGCTCGATGGGCACAACGCCGCGGAATTTCTCAGTATCAGTGCAATGTGCGAGCAAACGTCACACTCACAATCGGAGGTCTGCAAACCCTTGTTATGGCCTTGACTCACTGTTCTGATGTTCTGACTCCTGATGCAACTCCTGTTGTTCCTGTTCTTTCACCATTGCCGCGTACATCCTGCTGCCGAAACTCCAAATCCTCATGCTCGTAGTGGGTATCAGCAACCGCGTGTAATTACTCTGCTTTTTCCATGCCTGACTGCTATCATTGAAGGGTTTTTACGACGAGGGTATTTCTTCTTGTTCGTTAAAGCTGCATCTTGCTGTCGTGCGGTGGCCCAAGTCCTATATTGTGACCACATCACCAGGTCCAAGGCACCTATATCCCATGAGCCCAACAAGCCCTACCCTAGATTCAAAAGAACCTTCTACCCAGAGAAAACAACGCAAAGACCGGCCTTTCTCCATGTCGATGTAGAGCAGCATACCTATGCGGGCTTCGAGGACAGCTGAAGACCTGCGTCCGAAACTGCCCATGCCAAACCCGACACCCAGCCTGAAGCCAAAATCACTCCCAAACTCGCCCACAACACAGACATGAATCCGGGGCCTACGCCCTGAACCTTAAGCCTCAATGCGTCAAAACCCCAAGCTCCAGACGCTGGATCCTGGGCCCAAACCTATACACTTCCTGGACACTACACTACCGACCAGACATATTGAGAAGTATTGCTTTACTGCTTCCTGCTGTCAGAAGCTGGATTCATTTGTCGTTGCAAGGCCGAAGTCTGCGACTAAAGTGACTCGGACCAGCACAAGTGGAACAATCAATGTTGTTTTCTATGCTAGTAAGCCATTAGACATTGGGATGAGTAAGTAGAGTAGTACTAGTGGTGGTCTGTACTAGTCGTGGTACAAGTAGTGGCAGTAGCAGTCAAAGCCGGAGCAGCAGGGCAGCGGCAGCTGTTGCAGCAGGCTAGCAGCTGCAGCAGCTCTATGTCACAGGAAGCTGCCAGGACTACGTATCCCAATCCATATTCGACGCTTCTAAACAGGTTGGAGATATACGTGTATATATATATATACATGTACATATATATATATATATACATATATACACATACAGTTATTTATATATATGTGTTTAATTGTTTATGTATTTCGGGACCAAAGTACCCGGAAGAAAAACTAGCCCCAAGTCCGGGGTCACCGCGCTTGTTTCTGGGCGCCGTGTTCCCCTGCCCAATTCGCCCCCAGTAAGGGAGCACCTTCTTTCGAGACTGACTCAACCTCGACTTCGGCTCTAACATAGGGGCGTAATAATTAGAGCAGGGGTCCATATAAGGGCTACTATAAGGGCCATTATCAGGATTTAGAATAGGGGCTTTAGTAAGAATAGGATTAGGGTTTTCGGCCCCATTGTACTGCCTTTGTAAGAAGGAGCCCCAAAATAGTGTTGGTCATTATTTAGGCCCCTGCATTAATTGGTATGTCCTATCATATTGCCCGGGCTGGGTACTCTGCGCTTTTCTCTCCTGGGAGGTGCTCCCTTACGGAACAAGGTTGTGCCAGCTCAGTTTCCGGATCAGAATCAGAGGGCCATTCTGGGTTGCTGTGTCCTTCTTGTGACAGGTGAGTACGGCAGTCAGCGGGTATTGCATTCCTAGATTGTCGTTTAATAAAATAGTCATGCGGGATCTACAGATGTATACATTCAGCTGCAGCGTATCGTCCGTGTAACTTAGACTACTCCTCTTTCAGCAAGGTCCTGTGCTTGAAAGAACTACTTTCGCTACTCCCACAACCTCGTTAGAGTGATGCCTTGTCCGATCTGATGATCTCGGAAAGCCGGCTACGGGACCTGCTGGCTGATTTTCAGACACAGGGTACCCGCCTTCCATGCCACTTCAAGAATGTCTTTGCGAAAAGTGTGCACGGGCCAAGAGGAGTCCGACGATCACGCTCGAAGCTGAGCTGAGAGCCTGGGGTGATGCGATTCGACTTCAACGTTGTTGGTGCCGAAACGTAGCATTAGGAGTGACGAGGCTGGCACAGCAGACCCAATTCCCACAAGTTGGCGTGCGTCCTGTGCCTTTGGATTCCACTGTCAGCATGCGACGTCTTGTCAAAGGGTTCCAGGTCCTCAACCCTACACCCGAAAGCCTGAAACGTCCGGACTGTTCAAGTTGGTCCCAGAAACCTCTCAAGGATGACTCAAAGCATGGACTTCTTGACCCTCAACCATTTCAACATGCGACCCCGACCTCAAACATCCTCAATTGCTGGACCCCAACCTTCAGCGTTGCGGGTTTGGGTTTAGGGTACCACATCGGATCCCCACCGCAGCAAGCAGCGGCCAGCGGCATTCAAACAAGTTCTGTTCATTCGGCCGGGAACGACGGCAGCCGAAAATCAAAGACATCACGGCTGGGATGCCATAGATACAGAGGCATCGTACATACTATAATTCTGCGGCTTCTACATGTCATGGTTTATGCCAGGCGGGATTGAAAGGTTGAGCCGGCCAGGATGCCATGGCGCCGACTGCTTAGACTCCCAGCACCCATCAGTCCACAACCAAAGCCTAAGTCTTCTCGGAAGGTCTTCATATATTCTAGGCTACAGTTTATGATCCCTGCAACGAAGTAGCTTATGGTGCTTCTGTGCCCCTCTTGTCGCTCCACGGCAGCTCCCGAATTTTCTAGGACTTCACCAGCTTCCGAACCATGTCCATCACGGACAGGTAGGTCCCTGTCGCAGCCATGACCACCTCGGAGAGCCGGACAGCAGGCTTCGACTGACTTCGACGATGCAAGGGGTTCCTTTGAGGGTTCCTTTAAAGGGCTCTATAAGGGTTCTGATAAGGGATCTATATGTAATAGGGTTCAATAATGTAGCAATGTAGCGGCATGAAACAACGATGCTGTTGGAGCTGGGAGACATCGCGCGTCAAGGCAACTCAACGAAGTCGCCGGTCGTCGAAGCTACTGAAACTCTGCCAGGAACACTGGCTTCAGGCGTTTTGAGAACTGCCGAAAGGGTTTGCCTTGTTTACATGTGGACGCAAAGTTGCGTCCACGAGTTGAAGATCAGTCGCCAAAGGTCCGGAGCACGGTAATTCCTGCGCCCAAGACCCACTAAACTTCTGCTTCCCAGCGAGCCCAATACCCCTTAATTAAGGAATATAGCTTAAATCATAATGTGAAGCCCTATATAATTCAAGCCATATTCCTTCATAAGGGGTATTGGGCTCTCTGGGTTCCCTAAATCCTAAACCCTGACCCCTAAACCCTAAACAAACCCTGCGGACCTTGAAGCCTGAACCCCCAACTGGGTTCCCCGGCTCCGAAGACGAGGACCGCCCTTGAAAAGTGGCACAGAGCATGGATTTAGGCTTCCCGGGGATCGAAACACCTCTTTCTATGCGTATGCGAATTATATATATATATATATATATATATTACACGCTTTATTGTCTATATATATATATATACACACATGTATATATATATATACACTATACTACAGGTGTGTATGTGCAAATAGAGTATCTTTTGGAATGCAGGGGCTTAGTGTTCAGGAGCTTAAGACTTCCACTTGGGTCACATACCAAAGCCCATGTAACCCTCGGGCCATGGTGTGCGCTATTCTAGGCTTTTAGGGTTTAGGGTTTGGGGTTTTGGGGTCTGGGGTCTAGGGGTTTGGGGGTTTGGGGGTTTAGGGGTTTAGGGTTTAGGGTTTAGAGTTTAGCCTTGTTCCTTGTGGGTCGTGGCTCCACGGGCCACATCGATTTTCGGCTTCCCAGTGTAACGTTTACGACGAACTGTTGACACTTGACCGCTTGAAGGGAGGGCTTCTTGTTGACCCCCATGTCTCCCAGAAGCTCCAGGTGGGAGTTCCCGAATAGTAGAGGGGACCCTATCATAGTACCCTGAATAGTAGGATCCTTGTGATAACGACCCGAAAACAAAGACTCCTACTTCTCGGAAACTCCGAGATCACCTCAGTCTCAAGTCCTGAAGCCGGAACCACATGCAGAACCAGAAGCAACTGCAAGATTTTCAGTGAAATGATAGTAGGCCATATCCCAAAGCCCAACTCTACTTATTAAGGCGGGCAAGGACTTCTGACAGACCTACCGAGTCCTCTGAAGTGAGGTTGGGATCCAGAAAAGCCGAACGCGTGAACCTTGTTGGACCCCACACCCATGGCACCCGACACCCTTCTCAACCTTGTACTCTAAATCCTACGGCCTATCCACCTGAACCGCTCACCCGGGCATCAGAGACTCGAAGCCTCTGAAAGCTGATCCCTCTCTCAAGAGTAGCCCAGTGGCAGGTGCGGCAAGTATGTGCGCGAGAAGAAGCTCTTCCCCTGGCAGCTTGCTATGCACCAATGAAGAGATTCAAAGCCATTAACCCCTAGATCGGCTTGCATCCTAATCCTGCACTAAACCCTCAACCCTACTGTAAACACGAAATATCGATCCTGTGCCGTAAACCCGCACTCATGCTGTGCCGCTGCGGGAACCCCGAAGGTCACAAAGCTCAAACACAAAAGCAGCAAGAACCAAATCCACTTTGTGGCAGTACAGACTAACGCAAAGACAAAGTTGCAGCAGCTGCAACGAGTGGTGGTAGCAGCGGCAGTTGCAACAGGACCATGCTGCCTCAGTAGCAGCCCAGCACGAGGAGCAGTAGAAGCAGCAGGAGCAGCAGCAGTAGCAGCAGCAGCAGCAGTAGCAGTGTAGCAGTAGCCGTAGCCGTAGCCGTAGCAGTACCAGTACCAGTAGCAGTAGCAGGAACAGGAGCAGGAGCAGGAGCAGTAGCAGTAGCAGCAGCAGCAGCAGTAGCGGGAGGAGTAAGAGTAGGAGTAGTAGGAGTAGGAGTAGGAGCAGGAGTAGGAGTAGGAGGAGGAGTGAGCGAAAGGCCATGATGATGAGGGATGCGGAGAGGATGGAGGAGGAGCACCGGAGCTGGGAGCTGGAGAGGCTCGTAGCCATGAGATAGGCGTAGCAGTAAGTCGTAGTAAGTACATTAGTATTAGTATAGTAGTATAAGTAGTATATTAGCAGAGTAGTAGTAGTATAGCAAGTAGCGATTAATATAGCTCGTTGTTGTGTGTAGTTTTCTATTAGGTATTAGTAAGCATCAGGGCAGCAGTACCCATAGTAGTATGTATTAGTCCTAGTTATTCCTTCGTAGTCGTAGTAGTGCGTCGTACGTAGTAAGTCGTAGTCCGTTGCACGTGCTCGCCCTGTCGTCGTCGTAGTTAGTATAGTACCCAGCAGCATCGTAGGAATTAGTAGTCGTATGTAGTAACCGTGTGCTGTGGCCCTACTACTGCGTAAGTATTAGTATAGTAGTAGTAGTAGTAGTCGTAGTAGATAGTAGCCGCCACAAGTGCTCAAGCGGCCGCGCTGAATGAGAGGTTTCGAACAGGCTTGGGGCGCAACTGCTGTGCTAGAGGTTCCAACCGGGCCTTTTTCTGAACAGTAAAGGTTTGTGCCTCCTTCTACGCCATGGTCCTCTCCCTTTTCTCACAGGAGCTGCTTTGAGCCGCCAGGTCCCAATTCCGGGGCCCAGACTCTGTTTAAAACATTGCAACACTGGGTAGGCGGTAGGGTTTCCACCTCCGCGCGGTGGAGGGAGTCATTAGGCTTCTGTCTCTTGACGAAAGTAGCGGATGGCGCAATTGCCAGTGCACTCACAAAACTTTGCATCTCTTCGCAAGAATTCGTTCAAGACAGCATGTAGACGGACAATCAGAAGTGACGGCCCCGTACCATACCGCGGACAGGTTCTGACACCGACCCTAGTCAACCAGTTGGGGGTGCGGCCCCCACCGACTCGAAGAGAGCTTCAGTCACAGACTGCTGACTCCCCTGCACATGGCACAGCCTCCCGCAGGGCAGGACGACTAGAAAGATCCATTCGGGTAGTCTCTTGGAACGCGGGGCACCTAGGTCAACAGCAATGGGGAGAACTAAAAACGTGGCTGGCGGCTGAAGCCTCCCACCACTGCGACGTCCTTATCCTGCAGGAGACGGACGGAGACTAGCGAGTTCAGTGTTTCAGGTTGGCATTGCATCTCTTCGGCCTCGGAGTCTGCCAAACGTAGCACCCAGCAGAAGCAGGGCGCGAAGCGCAAGACTAGGCAGGAACCGAAAGCGGCTCCATCCACGACCCGGGCGGATGGAGTCATGATTCTCTTCTCACCCAAGTTTACAGCCAAGAGCCTTCGCTGGAAGGAGTGGAGTCCAGGCAGGGTCCTTGAAGCTCGTGCAGACATGGCAGGTACTAGGCTGGTCATTGTGGCTGTGTATCAACATGCTTGGTCCTCGGCCAAGTCCATCCAGTCTAACAAGGACGACCGTGCTCATGTACTATCAGTCATGTCTAAGGTGGTCAAGCAGGTGCCCAAGCGGGATTCTCTAGTCGTGGCAGGCGACTTTAATACCTCCCTGCGCTCGTGTCCTCCATTGGTGGGTACACACGTGAAGCAGCCCACGGAGGATCGTCCTGACGAATCCCACTTGTCCAACCTGCTGCTAAGGTTGCGATTGGTGGCCCTTAATACCTGGCACTGTGACAACATTGCCACCTTTGCTCAAGGTGGCGTGGAGTCGCAAATCGATTTTGTCCTTACTAAGGAATCCACTGCAGGAGGCAAGGCCAAAAGGTCAGCCCCTTGGACGGACTGCCCGTTGGGTAGCTGGAAGAAGGGAGGGCACTACCCAATTAAGGCCGAAATCCCCCTCCAGCACCACTGGTTACTCCCACCGCACAAGGGAAGCACACGCCGTTATGATTCCCTAGCTCTTCAGGCCGCAGTCCGTGAGGAGGACGACACAGCCAAGGCACTGCATAGTTGGGTGAAATCCAGAATGGAGTCCTGTCAGGACCCTTCAGATTGGAATGCACTGCTGCTGGAGGGTGCAGAACGTTTCTTCCCCAAGCTCCCCAAAAGACGACTGATCCCGCTTGAATCCGAGACTCGACGTATGTGGAGGGCCAGGACCCTTTGCAGGGCAGACAACACAGCTCCCTCAGCACAGCTGATCGAGCCTCATCAACCAATGGCACAGCCTCCTGGGTTGAACACACTCCCCAAACCGGAAACTGAGGTGGAGCTGGCGCAAGTTGCGCACAGACAAGCTGTGAAGCAAGCAAAAAAGGACAGAATAGCGGGTTTCATAGCTGAAGTTGACGCCAGCATAGCGGAGGGCGACCAACATATTTCGTTTCAAACCCTTAAAAAGCTGCGGCCTTGGCAGCCGGCGCGTCGGGCTCAGCTCAAGGACAGCACAGGACATCTTCTAGGCCCAGCGCAGGAGCTTGCGGCACTCAGGGAGTACGCGAACCAGGTTTTCGCGGCTCACCCCCCGCTGAGGCCAATGACTGGAGCTTTTCCGGTTTTGGAGTCATCCAAATTAGCCGCTCACATTCATTCCATCAAGCCTAATAAAGCTGTGCCTGACGGAGCTGCACCTGCTGCCATTTGGAGACTTTGCAGTGACGTCATTGCACCGGTCCTTTCCCGACATGTGGCTGCTAAACAAGTAGAGGATGGACTAGAATCTGATCTCATCGACGCAGATCTGTGTCTAATCCCCAAACCGGGCAAGCCTTCGGACAAGCCAGCAAACTTGCGTCCTTTGGGCATTTTGAGACCGGATGCTAAAGGACTGGCTGGAGCGGCAAGAGAGGCGCTACAACCCCTGACCCTCTCGTTCCTAAAACATATGCCACAGTTGCCTACCTTCCTGGTCGTGGGCTTTCAGATGCGCTGGAAAGAGTCGTGTGCCATCTGCGGGAGGCTCGGTCTTTGTTGGAGCAGGCTCATCCTACGAGACATGCTATACAGCAAGGCACACAGGTGCCATCACTAGTAGGCGGTCTGACCTTTGCTTTAGACCTAAGCCAGGCGTTTGACACAGTCTCTCGCCAAGAGATTATCGGTCTCCTTCAGCGCGAGGGGGCCGATCAGGACACAGTCCACCTCGTTCAAGCTCTCCATGACGGATCCAGATACGTCTTACATGCCCAAGGCGATTCCACTTCTATCGAAACCACAGCAGGCATTAAACAAGGATGTAAGCTCGCTCCCACCCTATTCTCGTTCCTCACAGGTGACCTCTTCCGGTCTCTGGTTGATCTGTTCGGTGCTGAACAGGTTCTGAAGTTTTTAACGGGCTACGCCGATGACCTGACGCTTCATAGGACTATTCGTTCTGAGAAGGACCTCAAGGCCATCCATGCACTTATAGCTGCCCTGTTGGAGGAGGTCCGCAAACATCGACTCAGAGTCAACATCGGCAAGTGCGTCATTTTGGTAAAGCTGGCAGGTAGAGAAGCACAAAATGTGATGAACAAACACAGCTGCTGGATTACCAACCCCAAAGGAGAGCCAGTCAGAGGGTGGCGCATCGGGCCCAACAAGTCGTTCCCTGCCTTCCAGTGGGTCTCCTCAAGCAAGTACTTAGGAGTTATGATCTCCTACAACCACTTCGAGTTGCAGACCCTGCATTTTCGGATGGGGGAGGCGAAGCAAAAGTTGCATCAAGTTCGCCAATTCGTCTACAACCGCAGGTATGCAAGTACCATGTCGCGCCTTAAGGTGTGGCAGAGTACTGTCCTGGGCACCTTGACGACTGGCCTATCTGACGTCGGTTTAAGCGAAGAGTCGGCCAAACAGCTTCGCAGCTGGCACGCCTACAAGGTACGATCGGTGCTGAACCTGCCGGCTCACACCACTCGGATCACCACTAAGGATCTTTTCCAGCTCTACAACATCCAGGACCCTGTCCACGCACTGCAGTCCAAGCTAAGGAAGCGGCTTCGCAAACTGGAGCGACGAGCAGTGCAAAGCCCGGACATCACGACAGACCCCTCGGTTCTGCAGGTTATCCGAGATAAGCTGTTGGTCCTGTCACAACTCCCTGAGCCCGAGGAACATCCGGTAACCTCATACGAGTGCACGCTCTGCGCGGCTTCATTTCAGACGTCAAATGGACTACATTTGCATAAGTCGAGGGTTCATCCGGCGAGCATTGACCGCTTTGTGCCTTCAAGCTTCGATAGAAAGCTCCACGCTGTGGATGGGATGCCGCAATGTGCGGCATGTAAGCGTAAATTCCATCAATGGAAAGGCCTACGTGACCACTTGCTTTCGGGGGCATGTCCGGAACCTCAGAAGCTCCGTTCACTAAAAGAAGCAGACAAACAGTCCAACCATCCCGATATTAGGACTCTCTTCCAGCTGAGACAGGACATTGCTCTGCTCCCACAACACCGCATCGCGGAGCTCTCGAGGACTGCGGATTCCAAGGTCCTTAATCATCGGTGCTTAACGTGTGACTTCTGGACTTTTGACCACACCAAAGTCAAGTCGCACTTTCGTCAGGCGCATCCTAAGGACTGGTCACGCCTACACAGGCGGGCTGTTAATATCTGTCAGGGCTACTCGCCCCAGTTAGCCAAGGGCCACTCATGTCCCTTCTGTGGCTACAAGGTCTATGACCGCAGACTGCATCCGGAGCAGTGTCCGGTGCTCTATCAGGTAAGCACGCAGTGGCTGCGAGGGCAGCCTGACGCGGACGTCGATCCCGTCGCCCCGCCTCCCAAGCCTCAGACAAAGTCGTTGGCCAGCTTTTTTAGACCTAGGTCGAATGGCACAGCCTCCAACTCGTCGAGCACAGCTCGTCATCCTACAACAGACTCGAACCAGGAGTCTGTGGCGCAGGCCCCCAGGAACACAGAGCCACAGCCTACAGGCTTACACAAACGCGTACTGTCTAACACGGCAAACTCCTGCTACGCTAACGCTCTCTTCCAGGCCTTGCATCAAGTATCGAGCTTTGGGTATGATCTGGGTGCTTTTCAATCTGTCTTAACCCATCTCGGGGATGAGAGTGCCCCTAGACTTCTGAACTTGTTCGGCCTGTTTGAATTTCGCCATGCCATTGCCGGTTGGCGACTAGATGGCAGGCAACACGATGTCTCAGAATTTCTTCACCATCTGCAGCAAAAGCCCATGGGATCCCTTCAGCACACTCAGTGGCAGGGTCGTACTGGGGGAATCGTTGAGGAGTCGGATGTGGGAGTCAGTCCTCTTCTCCTTCCCCTTCCGACGGGACCTCTGTCTCTCCAAGCCTGCCTAAGATTCTGGGAATCGCAAACTTTTAGTCGAGCGCTGGTATGGGCCCCAGAACTCCTAGCTGTTGTGATTTGCAGATGGCAAGACGGTGTCAAGAATACCCAGCCGTGCGCCTGGACCGGCCGTGCCATGGTGTCCGTGTGGACATCCAGCGAGCACACTGCCCAACGATCCTACCAAGTCCTGGCAGGAGTTGCCCACTTTGGGGACTCCCTAGCGTCCGGGCACTACCGAGCCTTCTGGCCAGAGGACCCCGCGGATGCGAGATCTCAGGTGTGGATTTGCGACGACTACAAGCTTCCGGAGAGGGCCTCAGCGGCCTTGGTTCAATCACTTTCCCGAAACGTCTACATGCTTTTCTTGCAACGAACTCGTTAGCATCATCGCTTAAGGCGATGCATGCCGGCCCAACCTCGGCCCTCAGGGCTAAGCAGGGCGCCCGTGCGTGAGAAGCCCGTCGTCAATTTCATGTTGACGCAGGCCGCCTCACGTCAAGGCCAAGTGTGTCATGAGCGCACGCGGACATGCACACTCTGTAATTTCCTTACTCTCAATCAGCTCTTTTTATTTAGTCAGCTTCCCCCCAGCTCCCTTTGGCCGTCATGACTGCCTCGCCTGCTACTGCCACGAGCCCGGAGCACAAGCATCTGTCGCAGCCGGGTTGAAATGACAACAGAAGGCAAAAGTTGCCATCGTTGTCAACCCTTCCGCCTCAAGCTTCGCGATGCTCTCATCCGACACCCCAGTGTCTTTGGCTCGCGCTTTGAAGGCTGCCGCGCTCTCCCCAAAGGACATGGCTCCTAGTGCTAGGTTCACTCAAGATCAGTCTAGGGCCCAGCACGCCTTGCAATCACTTTTAGCGTCGGCGAGAATGCCGCTCCCTAGTGCGCCACTTTTTAGTCCAGCTTAGTGCTGATTTGCTCTTGCCCCAATATGGGCGCTTCGGCTAAGCACCCATTTTAGTACGGGAGCAATTAGTAAATGTCACAGACTCCTCAAATCCCGTATGGCACAGCCTCTGGGAATTCGGTGCTCTTCCGACGCTTTTGCAAATCTCTTCGGGAGCTGTAGAGCAGCGCGCTAGCCACGGCAAAATGCAGGACACTGCACTTCGCCTGAGCCGATATGGTCAATCAGCTGTCGGCTGTTTGACTCACTCAGCTCTACAGGAAACCTACCCAGAATAACGGAAGCAGTCCGAGGAAAGCCAAGAGCATGAGCGTCGCTTATTGGGGGGTAGTCACGACAAGCACTCCGAGTCGTATGTAGGTTTACGCACATGTGACCCTTACGGCCTTCTGTCTCCAGCATGAGTAATCCGTGTGGGACGCCACACGACGGATACTCTAGGCGCCGGCTTCGCCCGAAGTACGACCTAATTGCTGGGACAGGTGCACAGACGGACGCGTCTGTTCACAACAAGGTGGCGGAGGAGGAAGCCATAGATGTACAGTCTTACTCAACTGAGCAGTTTGAGAGGAATAAGAGCGATGAATGCTAGCAGATAACCAGTTTCACGAGTGCACGGGACCAAAGGCGCCCGCAAAGCGCAGAGCACGCTCGCGCAGCGTTCAATTGAAATAGTAGTAATAGTAGTAGTAGTAGTAGTAGTAGTAGTAGTAGTAGTAGTAGTAGTAGTAGTAGTAGTAGTAGTAGTAGTAGTAGTAGTAGTAGTAGTAGTAGTAGTAGTAGTAGTAGTAGTAGTAGTAGTAGTAGTGTAGCAGTAGTAGTAGCAGTAGGAGTAGGAGTAGGAGTAGGAGTAGGAGTAGGACTAGTAGTAGCAGTAGTAGTAGTAGCAGTAGTAGTAGTAGTAGTAGCAGTAGTAGTAGCAGCAGCAGCGGTAGTGGTAGTAGTGGTAGTGGTAGTGGTAGTGGTAGTGGTAGTGGTAGTAGTGGCAGTATCAGTAGCCACAACATTGGTGGCGAAAACTACTTACCCCGCACGAGCTATCGTGATACAAACATTTCGAAGGCGATCAGGGACCAGTTGTCGCTGGACGTCGAATCAAAGCACAAGTTGCTGCGATCGAAGTTCATGACAGCGAACCATGTGTCACGACGGACATGCGCGCCGTAGCAACACAAACGTAGACAACAAGAACCCTCGCAGTGGCCAATATCAGCCAGAAGTCTCAGGATAGTATCAGTGGAAACCCGAGCAACAACACAAGTACTGGCAACAATCTTACCCCGGAAATCACCTGTCAATCGTCAGCACATGAAGTTCCCGACCCTGGCCTCACCATACTTGGCCGCCTTGCTCAGATCACTCGGTTTCAGTCTACGGGCAAGGGCACTGCATGCGCACAATGGTGATTCCATAAAGAGGACGGTCTTCAACCCTCAAGTGAACATCTTGAGAGGTTGGACCAGTTCCCAAGCACTTGGGACTGTGAATGTTCGTGCCCTTGGGAAACGGCCTACAGGTTAGGGCTTCGGATTGCATAATTCTTGCTACTGACGCCGTGGGCCCGGCTAGCCGGAGGTGAACCGCCGCAGGGAACATGACCTCGAAGTGGGATTAAAGGACTTACGGTTGGGGCTGGGGGCTGTAAGTTAACTCAGGGCTTCAGGGTTAGCTCCAACATAGTTGAGTGCAAAAAAGCTCCATGAGTCGGGGCCTTAAGACGCATTAGGGCTTTGCAAAGTCAATCACATTGATAAAGGTGACCCTGACAATGGCTATGAGGACAAGCATGAACATGTCGAGGACGTTGATGTTGCAAGAATCGTGACGATGTTGAGTGTGGAGACGATGGTGATGAATGGTGGGTGAAGATGATGTTGTGGCGGCTGTCGATGATGCCGTATCGGGAACGTAGCAGTACACATGACATCAGCAACAAGGAGATTCCCAACCGGACACATGCACTTCAACCCTAAATCTCCCAAGAACACCAGCTGAAGTGACACCCGAAACGCCTGAACCTCAAAAGCTCTAAAATCTATGCAAGTAGTATAGAGCTCGAACATCCAAGACCCCTAAGCCGAACCCCAAACCCCTAAAGCCCCACAAAGCATCTGAAATCCTAAATCCCCTCCGAAGCCCCGAAGTCAAACTCTCAGATCTTCACTGAGGTCGCCATGGTAAAGAGGCTTCCCGTCAAAGCCGCCACGACCTGCGGCAAGGCTTGGGCTCTGCGGGGTAAAACTGGACGGTGCCCAGGGAAACTCCCATCTGGGTGGTTGTCAAAATTAGGGCCCCTTTTTGGGTCCTTATTATCATACGGCACCCCTTATTTAGGGTACCCATAAAGGGACCATAATTCTGACAACCACCCATCTGGCTACCATAGAATATTCCCTGCTGCTGCCAGCTGTCCTGTCACTGTGACCGTGTCTTGTGGCGCTGATAATGATGATGATGATGATGATCGTTGAGAACATGACGGCGATGGACATCATCATCATCATCATCATGGTCATGGTGATCATGACGACCTCGATGATGATGATGGTGATCTTCATGATGCTGATTTCAGCACTATTGCAAGGACTGCTGACTACTGCTACTTGTAGTGATGTTGACCAAGTTATGGCATCGGAATCGTGCTGATCACAGCTGCTGTCAATAGTGTGATTCTTGTTTCCGGCTGCTGATCTTCTTGCTACAACAATCTGAAGCAAGCAGCAGAACCATCCCGCCATGATGACCAGACCATAGTGATGTCGACGCTTATCCATTTACCATCATTACTAGCTGCTATGGCGCTATCTCTTGGCATTTCGTGATTTCTATTCATGGAGGGGCCTTAATAACTGCAATAGGGCCTTGGGCCCCCTTTTTGTATACTTATAGTAAGGAACCCCCAAAAAAACAGGATTGGTAATTATTAAGGCCTCTATGGGTAGTTGTCAATATTGGGGTCCCTTTTTGGGCCCTTATTTTAAGACGGCACCCCCACCCCTATATTAAGTAAACTGCTTTGGGTAAAATGTCGACGCCCTGGGGCCATGGACCGCGATCTCCGAGGAGAACAGCAGCGCCGTGAGCGCCGTGGCGGCGGTTCTGGGCGTCACCCAGAGAACCTAATATCCCTTAATTAAGGAACCGTCCTTGAAGGGCTCCTTAAAGGGATCTATGAGGGCTTGTGTAATCCTTTAGTTACCCCTTAATTCAGGAATATAGCTTAAATCATATTATTGAGCCCCCCCCTATATTTTACGTAAGGTATAATCCTTGATTGAGGGATATTGGGATCGTTGGGCAGAGACTCCAATATCCCTTAGTTGAGGAACTTACCTTACATTGTAGTAGGAGCCCTGATAAGATTTAAGGAATATTCCTTTATTGGAGTCTCTGGGCAGGGGAGTTAGATTTTGCGTTTTGGGGGGGTAGGGGGTTTCGGGTGCAGGGGGTCGGAGTTGTGGGTTTGAAGTTTAGGGTTTCAGAGTGTAGAGTTTAGGCATCGCGACAACCACTGATCCTTCAGACTTTTGGTTTCCAAGCTGCTTCATTCAGGACTGATCTCTATGTCTAGCCTGAGTCGAAAGTCTGGAACTTTCCAACACGTAGCTGTATGCACTCTGCAGGCAATGCACCCCACCGGATTGAACTCCTCAATCTCTTTGCTTGTTCGATGATGTCAGCATCGAGATTACATGATAATATGCAGAGGATTGATGAAGCTAAGAATGAGGATGGGGCGGTCGATAATGACCAGGTGAACGCATCATGGATGATTGGAGGCTCCACCATCAAACCTCTGTACTGCACATGGGGCTCAGGAAGTTGAGGCTTTGAAGTGGCAAATCCATCCACAAGCATCATCAGAACGCCGCTTGCTGGGGATATAACTGAATTTCATCTGGGAGTCTTCGAAAATAGGAGACCCCAATATAGTACCCCAAATATTAGGATCCTTACTATAAGCACCCCAAGATAACGTACCCCCAATTTTCGGAAACTCCTTAAACCCTATGGATCCCGTATAGGAGCCCTTGAAGGATCCCTGTAAAGGAACCCTAAGGTACCCCCAATTCTCCGAAACTCCCATCTCGAGGACCTCCTTGAGCAACTCACGTCGAGGCAGTGTTGGAGCGGGGCTCTCGGCTTCGGCGTGAAGAGCCACGAAGAGAGACGGCTGTTATGTGATATGAGCCCTATGTATACCCAACAAAACATTGCAAACGAAGATTCCTACGCCACATGAGCTGCAAATCCCATGAGCCCTCGAACGCAACCCTCAAACTCTGAAGAAATTCAGTGCCTTCAGACCCCGAATTTGGTGGCCCAACAGATCCCAAAGAAACACAAATCAGGATTAGGCGTCAAGAATCCGAAAGGTCCCTTGTGCTTATTTATTATTTACGCCGAAGCTGATTAGGCTTTAGGGTTTTCAGGGTTTGGGGCTTCTAGGGTTTGGGTAGGACCCTGAACCCTAAACCCTTGTGCTTATGCTTGGCTTTGGCCCAGGCAGAGCGAAGAGCGCCACGATGCGCCCGCGCGTCCACTCGGGGCCCATCTCCAGGGTAGTGTAAGTAGGGTTCTGTGTTTTAGGCTTTTGTTTGGGGATTTTGGGACTTGGATTTGGATTGTGGGGGTTAGGGTTTATCGTGGATTGGAGATTGTGTTTGGCGCTTTGGGCGTTAAGCACAGACTCGCACCCCATTTTCTGCAATGTACAACGAATCAGGATATTCCTCTCCGACAACAAACGCTCGAAGAAATGCAAGACGAAGAAAAAACCCTAAACCATGATTGAGCTCTGGATCCTCACACCTTCAGCTCTACTTGTGTAGAGTGCGAACGACGCCGATGCCAACACTTCACAGTGACTGCAAGACTTGCACAGATGAAGTTCTTAACATCATCGGTGGGTTTAGTGGGACTTGGGCTGTGGGTTCATAACCCTAAGCCCTAAAAACTACTCACTATAAGCCGTAGAAACCCTTTTGCATGACCCCTGCACCTCACTAGGCGGCCAGAGGGATACCAGAATGGCGTTCATCAGCACCCTCGGGGTTTCCAGAAACTCCGAAGATGGCTTCCGGTCGAGGGGCTCAGGGGTACCAGAAACTTAGATTCGAAGATCCTCTAGGGTTTAGGGTGTTTGGTCTAGGGTTTAGGGGTTTAGGGGGTTTAGGCTTAGGGTTTAGGTTTGCTTAGGGCGTAAGTAGCTTAAGGCTTAAGGAAATATGAACGGAACTCATTGATCCTGTTAAAGGATATTGGAAGCTTTGCTGGGCTTGCGATTTCAGGCTTAGCGCTGTGGATTTGGTGCTTGCTTTGCGACTCAAGGTTCCGGCTTTTCGGCAGTCTCAGGCAACCCGAAAAGCATGGAAGAAGTGAGGTCTCAGGCAACGTTACAAGGCTGGTTCCAAAGTTCAAGCACCACGCCCTAGGATCATCGCGACGCGCAGTCTCAAATCTTAATCAAACCCAACCTTGAGGGTTTGCTGCGAGTCCGGTTATGTCCAGGGTCCACGGAAGAACAACTCGTAGACCTGTTAGTCGGTATTGCATGGGGACTTTACGACTCAGACTTCGAACCGCCACCGCCACCGCAACAAACTCCAAATCCGAAACCCCTAACCCTAAACACTGAGGAACAGCCACGGCCGCAACCACAGAGAGACCCATCCGGTAGTCTCAACAATAACTACGAGCCACCCAAGGCAACAACCAGTATCAGAGAGCTCACAGGGATGAGGCGGTTATGCCATAGAACGCCGGGGTCTAAGGTTTCGAGATCTTGGAGCCAGGGATGCTTGCGTAAGGATACTCGGGGGGGGGGGGGGGGGTAGGTGTTGAGGATTTGGGGTGTGGGATGGTGCGGGGTCATGGATCTTCATTGGGCTGGCTTTGTTGTGTCAGGGCCTTAAGTTTGGAGTCATTCCAGGGGGGTTGTGGTGTGCCTTGTGCTCTGATCAAGCGTATTATGAAGTGCCTCTACGATGCAAACACTGGCCGGGCAACCCCAAAATTTACACACTATCAACCATAAACCGTAACCTCCTGCGTCCAAGACACGCCTAGACCCCGATTCTAGGCCCAAAGTCAAAAACTCAAGACGTAAGCCCTAAACCCCAAACCGAGGAAGTAGGCATGACAAGGGTTCGCGCTGAGCCCCTGAGCCGCTGGCGGGGCTGTCAGCTGGATTTTAACCTTGGGAGCTGTACGGGCCTCATGACGGGGTTTCGTAGGGGAGTGCGTTTCTTGCTTCTGTGATGGTTTCTGATGATGGCACTACAGGGCTGTCCAGAAATAACCAAAACTATCCTGACAGCCACATCAAAATTTCGTGGAAGCCTACGACGGTCCTAAAGCCAGACTCTTGAACCTGAAAACCCAAAAGACTATAAGCCCCGAAAGCCAGATCCCTTATGGGTGGTTGTTAAAATAGGGGTCCCTTTTTGGGTACCCTGAATAATCGGTGCTGTATTAATATATTAGGGACCCAAAAAGGGACCATGATTTTGAAAACCACTCTTATAGATCCCTTATGTATTCGAGAGTAACCCGTATATCAGCCCGAAGAGTACCCTAGTAACCCCTGTAAAACCCTAAAACTTAAACACGAACCTCAGATTGCAAACCCTTGTAGTAGGCCTGATAAGAGTAACCCGGCAAAACCTTCTAGAGCCACCAAGCCGTAAACCCAGGCCCGACATCCCCGAAACCGGCGTAAGATTTTGGCTGCAATTCAGACAGTCTCCAAACAAACAGTTGTGCTATCTAGCCTACCCAGGCTCACCCTACAAGTAAAGAACTGCGAGACAACTTCCTCGGAATGTCTATTACCTAGAAAAGGAAATGACTGTGTCCCCGGCGACAAACGCGAGCGCCGACATGTGGCGGAAAAAGCGCGCCTGCCTCGGCTGATGCTCCCTACTGTAGCCGAAAGGCCCAAAATCGCCCTGATCTGTTAAGGGTTTGGTGCTTTGGAGGAGTCCAAGAGCCCGGACTTTGATGAGACGTGCAAAACCCGAAAGTGCATCGCAAGCATGTGGGCACGTGCCCCTAAATTACAACCAGGCTGTATCCTCCTCTAAGGGAACTCTGCATTTCCGTCCCGAATAGCACCCAACCATGCGCTGAATCTTAGTAGAAACATAAACCTGATAGGGGCCACGAACCCGAATGCAGACACGCGTAACGCAGATATCGCATCCTGAGAAAAACAAACATCATGACAAACATGACCTTGTATCATCAGCCATGCCGGCGATGCAGTACACTCACGGGATCCATGTAATGTTCATTTTTTCGTGCATCTCGTGCAATCGTTGTGATACGATTCTCGTGCTGCCCTGATTCCTTCTCCGGGTCTTTTCTTTAGGGGATGCGATATCTGCCGTCGGGACGCGCGTTCGGTGGAGTTCCCCATTCAGAACGGCCTCGAGACGCTGCCGGAACACGCCTCCCGTGGAGTTCCCCCTTAGCTTGACGGATTCAGAACTCGCGCGACACGCGCCTTCTGTGGAGTTACCCATTAACAGCCTGTGGAATTCCCCCTTAGCTTGACGGATTCGGGACGCGCGTTCTGTGGAGTTCCCCATTTCCCCATTAATCGTTGCGCGAGACGCCTCGCGTCACACGCAGACGCTTTGCGGACGCTTTGCGGCCGCTTTGCGGACGCTTGCGGACGCTTGCGAACGCTTTGCGGACGCTTTAACAACGATCGCTGGTCACCTGCTGGACCCCTGGACCCCAACCTTTAAAACGGGAACCCTTCTGCGCAGCATTCGGGAAAACCTGACTGAAAACGACCCTGAATACTTATGCTCTTTACAGGGCACCTACTTCTCTGGCAGAAACAACACCCGGCGAGGAACCTAGGCCTACTGTAGGGGCCTTAATAATTAGAATAAGATTTGTGGGTATCAAAATTGTAATGAGGAGCCCCCCAAAATAGTAGGTAAGTATTTAAGCCCCTGTAGTACTTACTTGCACATCCTTCTAGCTCTGATTTGTTCGACGAAGACCCTGACTCAAGGAATTCAATTGGTCTCTCATGTGGAACCCTCTAAGACTGTCGAAAACCTGCAGAGCCCACATACTGTACGAAACCCTTGAAAACCCTCAGACAGCCATGCTGCTACAAGCACGGTTTGAAGTCCCGCTCTTGTAAACCCTAAAATGCCCGTTATGCTTATGATTATTTATTGTTGTTATTGCTATTACTGCTATACGTACGAGGAAAAGCTAGTATGAGTATGATGATGGTGATGATTATTATTGATTACTATCACTACTAGTATGATCTGAAAAAATGAGCTTTCAAGGCGGGCCACGGGAGCGAGGCGAGGTTTTTCGTGACGGACGCCTGGCGGAGGGCAGGAGACGCGAAATCCCCGAAGCCGCAAAACCCAAAAAAGCATGGAAAAAACGGAACCCTTCCATTGTTTGATTAAGTGTCGCAGTGACGGGAAATCATGTGATTCTTGCTGTTGTTGCTGCTGCTGCGGCTGTTGTGATTGCATTGATTGCCATCGCCGCAGTGCATGTCGTCGTTGCTGTTACATCGTGTCTCTCAGTCTCTATCTCGCTCTCTCACTCCCTCCTTCACTCTCTCGGACTCTCTCCGAAACTTGGGAGTTTCCGAAAATAGGAGTACCTTATTTTGGGGCGCTTATGATAACCAGGATCCTACTATTTAGGGTACTACAGTAGAAGTCAAAAAGTTGGAAACCCAATAGCCTCAGTCCCTAAGAGTAATGTATAGGGAATCCCAGCACCAATAGTCCTTTGTCCGGTTTCCAACTCCTTGGGGTCCACTATATATTAGGGTCCCCTGTTTTCGGAAACTCCCACTTCTCATTACTGTGTCCTTCATGCACTTGGAACCCGGTGGCCTCCAAGTCCTCGCCGAAGACCAGGTAGCCAAACACGCCGAGACCTGAACCCAGATAGGGTTTAGGGTTTAGGGAAACCTTATGTAAACCTGTTTGGGCAGCGAATCTATTAGAGTTTCGGTGAGCTGATTGGTGGTATAAGCTTTCCGCAAAAAGGAATCGCTGTGCAGTGTCCATACTGCCAGGATCCTTTCATATCCTTTCCTTTCGGGTCCATACTGGGACCTCCAGTTCTCTGATGCAGCCCAGCCGAACTTCTTTGGGATGCGCCTAGGCTGCCCTGCTGAGTTCAGGAACCCTAAACCCGAAACCCTAAACCCTAAGCCCTAAAGTGAACCCTAAGCCCGAAACCCTGGTGGGTGGGTTTAGGGCTTAGGGTTCGGTGCTCAAGGCGCTCAGAGTTTTATCCACTGGACTGCTATTGAATTCCTACTTCGCGGGCTGACCCTGGAGCTCACATAATATAGGGGCCTTAATAATTAGAATAGGGTTTTGGGGTCTGGGGTATATTATACTCTAATTATAGTAAAGAACCCCTAAAAATTAGTATAGGTAATCATTGAGGCCCCTATACTATAGTACCCCAAATTCCAAAGCCTGAATCGTCAACCGAAGATTACAATGCTTCATACACGGAACCCCAAGACCTGGGCCGCGAACCCCAAAGCCCGAACCGAACGCCCTACCACAGGGGCGTGAGTAACTCGAATAAGCCTTTGGGGTACATACCGTCGTAGAAATGTAACTCTATTTCGTCTCTAACCATTAAGGAATCCGAAAGTCCTAACAGCGGTCAGGAATCCTAAAAGCGGTCTTGGCTATCAACCAGCCCTCTCTATTCATCTAGCCAGCGGCCCCCAAAATAAAACTATTTCACGTCGAGATCCACCACAGGGCCTCCGTAGTAGACAAAGGCGAGGAAAAAGGTTAGGCCTCCCGACGCGATCTGAGGTCTTAATCTAAAGGCCTGAATAATTAGAACGGGGTTTGGGGCCCATTACACTATAATTATAGTAAGCAATAAGGAACCCCCTAAAATAGTATAGGTAATTATTAAGGCCCCTATATTACTTTACGACTCATGGCTTTAGGTTTGGACTTAGGGTTGTTTCTAGGTCTTCGGGCTTGGGGCCCTTGTGGGGTTTGAGGGCCTAGGCCTCCAAAAAATTGGGTTTCGGCCAGTTGAGGCTTGAGAAGGGCCGAGGGTTCAGGGGACTTAGTAAGTAGGGTTATAAGTAAGGTAATTATGGTTATATCTACTCATAGCCCTAATTAAGGTACATATAACCCTCTTACTAAGTCCCATGATCCTCTAAGAAGGGCCGAGGTGTAAAGCAGAGGCTTATGGGTTGAGGCATAAAGCTTAACCGATTGCCGCAATGGAACAAGCTTTTGCGAGGAGCTGATGGAGCTGCTTGATCGAAGCTTCAGCACAAAAGCGAAAACCTTGGTTGTCCATGACATGTCGTTTCAAGTTTATTGCTGCTTTCGCAAGGTTTGTATAGAATTACAATTTCGGACAATGCACAGCCCTAGACTCCAGACCCGAAGCCCAAACTCTGCACTCCAAACCTGGAGGTCACAAAAAAACAAGACATCCAAAATCCTGAAGCCCGACTCACCGACAAGCTGAGGAATCCGACTAATGGAAGACTGCCATCGCCTTGGCTCCTGAATGAGGAGATTTCTGTGAAAGGCCTCAGGGCTTATGATTCAGGCCTTCGGGGTCCTAAATCCTTATATAACTCGGGGTGCTAGACTCAAATAACCGCAAATGCTGCTGCTTTAGAGGTATATGAGCAAGCATAGGCTAACCCCACACCTCATACCCTATACCCCCCCCTACACTTTTACCTCATTTCTCAACCCGCCTAACAAATCAACCCTTAAATCCCACAAAACACAAAGCACCACCCAACAATCAATGCAACAATCCCGAAACAAAGCAACCTACCAACCCCAAACAACAATCCATAACACAATCCAAAACCCAAAGCACCTAAACAAACCCTACCCTCAACCATAAAATAACCCATATCCTAACCTGAGGTGTGGGGTAAGACCCTAATAGAAAAATCCCCCTAAAGCCCATAACCCTGAACTGGGGATTGATAGAGAGTAGCAACTCTCTAAGCTTCGTGCCAATTTCACAGAAAACATATTCTCAATATATAATATAAGAATATGCCAGAAGTTTTACTTAAAAATCATCCAAACCTGACAAGAAATATGACGCCGTCATTGATGGAAAAAAGACGGTTTCATTTGGAGCAACTGGATACAGTGATTTTACAAAGCACAAAGACGAGGAGCGAAAGCAAAGATACATAGCAAGACATAAACACGAAGATTGGACGATTAAGAATATGGAAAGTCCTGCTTGGTTTAGTCGTTGGTTATTATGGGAGAAACCCACAATAAGAGAAGCAAAAAAAACATAGAAAGCAAACATCCTAATATTAAAATATCATATAAGAAATAGAATATTATAGTAATTAAAAGCACCATATTATCATTAGTTCATAGGATTTTACTAACAAATTAGTAAAATACAATGTCTAATATGCTCTCTCTTGGTCGTCAAATTTAATTTCATAATATTCTAATGTCTCCTTCTTAGGAAATTTAATATCCTTGTTATTCAGTTTATTAACATAAACATTTCTCTTATTCTTATACACATCGCTATCTTTATCCATTGGTTTATTGTACTGTTTAGGTTTATTAGTTAATTCATCAATCTTTTTATCAATAAGTTCTAATTTATCTAATATCTTTTGAAATCGTGTTGCTTTTGTTTCTTTAACATCATCATCTACATCGCTCATATAAAAGTTTTAGATTATTTTTTAAAACTTTTAAAACTTTGCGTTTTTCCTATAACTGTTCTGTTTATCTAAGCATCTCCTACATACAATATTATATTCTTTGTGTTTCTGTAAGCTTTTGAAATTTTCCATTTCTTTACATAAATTACATATCGGACAAACTCTAACTTCCAAAAAATTATGACTAAATCCATCATAATTATGAGAGAATGACACTATAATTTTGTCAGTGTATATAGTCATATAATTCGCTTTATAATAAAAATTATAAAGCCAATTACTTAATGCTTTAACAAACTAAATAAGCACCATCTTATGTGGTGCGATTGAATGTTCCAACACTACTTCCCTTTCGTGCGCCCATTCAAGTGAGACATTCGGGACTTACACATGGGGGGCACTGTTTTCTGGCGTTCCAAAAGGTGGCATAATCGCCCTGTCATCTGTAAATACATTTTAATTCTTAAATATTAATCCATACTATTGAATTTACTTTTACTCTTTATGTCTTCCAATTCTTGTTCTAATCTAATTATTCTTTCTTCTGCTTCTTCTGGTGTAATTGACCGACCTGTTCCCACTTTTCCCCAACCCGTATCAACCACATCAATATCTTCCTTAGCATCTTTGTTTGTTCTAAAAATGCTCTGGTCATCGGGAGTAGCCCCTCTGCCTGTTCCTAAACGCCAACTGCTACGCTCCTCTATCTGATTTACCACTGTATTACCTGCCTTATCGGTCGTTGCTTTCGTTTCCTTATGAAATGCTTTTCTACCACAACGACAAAAATTACAACTGACACTGCCTTTATCAATATGGAAATTGTCGTTCTGTTTTGCTTCTTCCTTACTCATTTATATTTTTTAGATTTTATTTTACAATATTGAATAATTGCCTTCATAAACTCAAGTAGGTTAAAACAACACCTACGATATTTAGGCGGTGTTATGATTTCTTCAATTTTCTCTAATTCACTGATAATTTCAATATAGTCAGTATATGATATTCTATTATCGCTCATATATTAATAACGATAAAAAAATTCTATGTATTATTAATGATTGCTCCTATAGTTAAACCTATAAATACAAAAGAATATAATTTTAAACAATCTAAATATGAAGTAGCACCTAAATTACCTTTTAGTCAAATAATAACAGGGCCTTCAGGTTCAGGAAAAGGAATATTATTACAATCAATGATATTGGACATTTACAGAGATGTTTTTGAAAGAATATATATTTGGTCTCCTTCTACTTCAGTTGATAGTAATTGGTTGCCGGTTAAAAAATACATTCAGGATAATTTGAAGGTAGATTTAGAAAAAGAAAAATGCTTCTTTGATGAATACAACCCAGAGGAATTAGAACAGGTGATAAAAAGACAACATAAAGTTATAGAATATCAGAAGAAGAACGACCATAGAAAGTTATTTTCTATTCTTATAATTGTTGATGACTTTGCCGACAGTAAGGCTTTTTCAAGAAACTCGCCTTTGCTAAATCAGTTGTATGTTAGGGGTCGTCATAACGCAATTAACATTATAACAAGCACACAAAAATTTAATGCTTTATCACCAATCATTCGTGTTAATAGTCGTCAGTTATTCTTGTTCAGGTTAAGAAACTACAAAGAAATTGAAACAATGGTTGAAGAATTAAGCGCTGTATTAATCAAAAAATCAACCGTAGCAGATACTAAAAACCTTGCCGAAGCAAAGAAACTTTTATTGGAAGTATATAACATAGCAACAGAAGAACCATACAGTTTTTTTATTCATAAATCTAATGAAACCTGATGTTAATGATATGTTTTACAAACGGTTTGATGCTAAATTAGTCATTGATTGATAATATTACCTTATCATAATATTATCAATCTAAATTAATGAATACGAACATAAATCTATAGCAGGTAGTTTATATACGAATTTATCACTTTTTGTCTCTTCTAATTTTTCAATTCTTTCTATACAGTCTTTTAAAGTATTAAATATCTAATTCTTTTATCTGCTTCATATTTTCAGTAGCACAAGATTTAGATTGTTTTAAACCCATATATACTAATATTTAGATAAATATTTTAATCGCTATCGCTTTTCCCCTTCCCTTTTCCCTTTAACTTCTTTATTTCTTTCTCTAATTTATCAAGTCTATTCAAGGCATTCTGTAAAGCACACCATAAAACGGGCGTTGTCTTGCCATAGTCCATTCGTAAATATTCATCTTTACCTTCAAAAACTATATTACCCCATTCTTCGGGCATCTTCTTCGTCTTGAAATCATCAGCAATATAACCTACGCACTTTTGCGACTGTCCTATGTAATTGTATGTTTTAGGTTTAATATACTTGACTAATTCTATACATTTTTTGGCGTCTATTTCTTTAACATTTTCTTTCAGTCTCTTATCTGATGTTTCGGTTAATGCTCCGTTAATATGTAATCCTGTGCTTGAAAGCTCACCTATATTAGCACCATTAATAGAATGAAAAATGATACCGTCGCTGTCCGGATTATCTATTTTAACTCTTTGACTTCCCGATACATCTGTATGTGTAAAATCTAAATTACCTAATAAATTTACTGATGCTTCACTAATAGATATTTCAGGTGTGCTTCCTATTGTTCCAACTATTAAATTAATTGCTCTACCGGTGTCTCCATTTCTAATATCTAAGTCATAATCACTTCCGTTTAATGTTTCCTTTATCCCTGATGAGTGTTGAAATAATAAATCTCCCCATACATTTAAACTTGCTTCCGCTGTAATGTTTCCTATGCTATTAAAAGTTTGATTATTAACAACGGGTCTATTTATTGTAATTCCGTTAGTGTCATCTAATTGTAATGCGATAGTCAGTTGTCCTATCCGACTGTAATGAAAAATTCATCTGTGCTGTTGTAATAACATTCAATGAATTGAAAGCGTCCGCTCTTTGAAATATTCGGGCATTTGTATTTAATAACTGTTCTCCTAACACTTCTAAATCAGTTGCTATTCTTGCTTCATTAAAATTAGAAGTTCCACCGACATTTAAAAAATAACTTGCGTTCGGTGCTTTTCCTACACCCATCCTTGCCGTTCCTTCTGTTCCTACAAATAATTCACAATCGCCGTCATTTTGTAAAATCATTTGTCCATTGGTTCTACCAAATTTGTTATTTCTAAATTCAAATGTTGCTACATTATCCCTAACTCTCAATGTATAATCAGTTGTCGCCGATGGTCTATAAATATCGCTTCCTGTTCCTTTTGTATATAAATCACCTATTAAATCTAACCTTGTTCCAATCCGTGCAATATTAAAATTAGATGTTCCGCCCACCGTTAAAAAATAACTTGCGTTCGGCGTTGTTCCTATTCCTACTTGTGCTGTTGATGCTGTCCCTATTCTTACTTGACCTTGTCCTAAACTTTGTATTTCCATAAGTGTATCTAAATTTTCATTGCTTGTATTTCTACAAGTTAAAGTTCTATTTCTAAATTCCCAGATGCCCTGATAATCTCTAACCCTTAATGTATATGTAGTATTTCCCGACGGTCTAACTAAATCAAACCCTAAACTTGAAACTGTCATATCGGCATAACAAAAGAAATTATTATTAATTCGTAAATCGTTAAAATTACATTGTCCGTTGTTATCTAATTCTAATTCTGCTACACTGTCATCACTTGTATTATAGGCATTAATTTTATTACCTTTCAATGTTATGTAATTTGTTTGATTTTTAAATACTGCTACATCTCTGTCTGTTTATGCTCCGAATTGGTTTGAAAACAGCAATCCTTCTAATGGTTCTACATTAACAACTGAGTTTTTAAGCGTTAAACCTTGATGTAAAATACTCGGTCTTGATAAACCTATGACTGGGAAGAAACTGACATTATCCGTGAAAGTTGTTTTGTCTTCTTTCAATGATAAAAAACTATCTATCTGCGTATCTGTGTATCCACCACCTGCTCCGACTACTCCATCTACTTCTGTTTTAGAAAAAAAATATTGTTATTAATGTATGTTTGGCTATAAAATCCTGCATCAATAATCGCTGATGTATAATAATTACCTAATGTTGTGTCTATTTGAGCTGATGTGTAATAACTTGATAATGTTGTATCTATTTCAGTTTTATTGTAAAAATTGGTGGTTAATTGAGAATTAGTTTGATAATTATTTGTTAAATTAGTGTTTATGTCATTAATGCCGTTGAAATTTTGTAATTGCTTTGTACTCAATACTGCTATGTCATTGGTATGTGTTGCTATATCCGTTGTGTTAGTATCTATTAATGATATATGAGATGTTAATGTATTATTGTAAGATACATCTTTAGAAATCAAAGGGGCTAAGCTGTCGTCTACATCTTGTTGAGAAATACCACCGCTGTTTGTATTAACATAGTTTATCGTGGCGTATAAATCGCTTAAATTAGTGCCACCTACGAAAATATTATCTGCTGTTAAAGTATTTGTATTTTTCAATGTCAATACCATTATTAAATCAATTTAGATAATTAATTTAACAATGTTTATTTAATCAAAAACTTTTAAACCTAAATCCTTCACCTCTAATATTTGCTCACTTAGCATTGTGATATAAAGCGTATCCGGCATTTCAGTAGCTGGAATTGTTGCTCCTGCTGGTTTAACTCTTAATAACATTTGTTGTCCGGCTCTTGTATTAATTCCTGTATAGCTACTATCTGGCACTTTTTCAAATGAAAAAGCAAAGACAAATTGGCGGTCGCGATACTGTTTAAAATTAATATTCATACTGTGCTGATGAAACATTGGTAAATTAAGTGCTTTTCGTAAATGATAGAGGTAGTGGTAGACGCGACGGTGGTGTTGGAGCATTCTCGACACGCAGCGAGGAAATCTCTGGATTCTAGATTTTACATTTCGGATTGAGGACGTGGTTGGTGGTAATGCATTGGGATGGCGTTCTGGGCCTTTGTAGAGATTGGTTTTGAGATTTGGGGTTTGGTGTTGTGTTGGGAGGCGCTTTGGTCATTGAATTCTATTTTGGTGCGGGATTTGGGAGGTGCTTTTTGTTTTGGATTTTATTTGGGATTTCGGCGTGAGATTTGGGAGGTGCTTTGTGTTTTGGTGTTTTGAAAGGTTGCATTGTGAGGCATGTTGAGAAATGGTGTGAAAGTGTAGGGGGGAGTATAGGATGCGAGGTGTGGGGTTAGCCTCTGCTTGCTATGTAGGGTGTTGGGTCGTAGGATGTTGTAGGGTGAAGGGCTTCGGATCGAGCTCTTGGCAGTCGTCGTTGTTGCTGCTGCTGTTGTTGCCGCTGCGGCTGTTGCTGGTTGGTGATGGCGACGGTGGGGGTGATGATGACCGCCTTAACGTACTCTTGTGCTTTGGACACTTGTCTGCCTACCTACCCCGGCTGATATATTTGCACTGTGATTAGGCCGCAACCACACCGATTTAGTGACTCCGAATGTAATGAAGCACATTGCGGAGGATGCGCTAGTGAAGACCTGGCCAGCATTGGCAAGAACCGGCTTTTGACTTGATGCATGAGCATCGAAGATGAAGTAGGGTGGTCGGCGGGAGCTTCGTGTAGTTTCAGGGGGAGCATTGAGCTTGGATGGCTCTCGAAAGCTACAGCTAGGTATGCTCTAAAGTTTTAGTGCCGGGCTTGGGAGCAGAAAGTATGTCTTCCACCCACCGCTGAGACCAAAAGAAGCAACGCAGGAAAGCCTTCATGCACTCGTAGACAACGGGAAAACAAGGATGTCCTCCGACTCGCGGCATTGCTTGGGAGGTTTGGTGCACGACTTGCCAAGGAGGATCAACGTGGGAGTTTCCGGAAGTTAGGGGTACCTTCCCAACATAAGGCTGGCTTATTTTGGGTTCCGTATGATCGGGATCCTACTATTTAGGGTACTATATTAGGCTCCCCTATTTTCGGAAACTCCCATATGCCAAATCCACGGGATGAAGAATCAGATTCAGGGTTGGAGTCACCTGCCGCATGCAAAGACATGGACTAGTTACAATTTGCATAGGGTTTAGGGACAAAGAGGGTGCTCGAGCGATTCGCTGCAAGTTCTTGTATGTCTTCGTGTGGACACAATGCGCCCGAGCACGAACACGTCGCACGAGCTTGTACATACCGGCGTGTATGGCTTAAGAGGCGCAAACCTTCCAATGGAAGGTTCAAATGACGGCACATGTGTCGATCCCGGGTGTGCCAAGATAAAGATTTTCGATGTTTCGGAGGCCGTGTAAGCATCATCAAACGAATCGCTGAAGATCCAACTAAAGACAGAGCAGATCAACTCCCACAGCTCCACAGACTCTCCCACGAACCTTCCCTGAAACTGATGCAATGCCCCTGACTCCTGCGAAGCAGAAGACGATGATGCCCACCGAACGGGGAATGTTCCTGGAAAAGACGGTGTGGGCACATAGGAGGGTTGTGGGTATATTCAATGCACTACAACCTTCAGGCAATGTTCGGGGCTCCAGCTTCTGCTATGGAGGATTGCAAGGGGCGGGGGAGCGGAGTAAGGGTTTAGGGGGTAGGGTTCGGGGTGTAGGGTTTAGGGTTGGAGGTTCGGGGTGCAAGTTCTCGGGCTTGGGATTTAGGGTTCGGGGGTCAGGGTTTAGGGTTATGCTGACACTCCCCAACGAAGGTCAAGTTCTTTTCGCTGTGTGAAACAATGAGACGGTCAGGATCCTTTGCTTCGGAAAGCCGGGGAATCAAAAGATGTACGACAATGAAGGTATAGGTCGTATAGGTACCGTTAAAAAACATCCTTTGCTTCGGAAAGCGGTGTAATCAAAGCACGAACGACGATGAGGGTGTAGGTAGCACTGAAAACCATCATCAGGAAGCACAGGGACACCCCTGGGCTAGGGCATGTTGTTAAAGGGGGCCCTAAACCCTAAACTTATAAAAACCTTTGAACCTTTACACTCAAAGCCCTTACAAAATCCGAAAACTCCACCTAAACACTGAAGTTGCACCCAGGGCTCTGCAGCTGCAGCAGTGCGTCAAGACCCAAGTGGTCGTAAGGATTCGCCTCAAGTCTGTTTAGGAAGTTGAAGGCTTCGGAGTTTACGAGCATTGCAAGCTTTGTGATAGTGGTTTCTGGGCCAGGATTGAGTCTTCAGTGTGCTTCCAAATGAAGGCATACAGCGCGTACCGTCACAGGCTGAGCAACAGTACCGGAACAGGCGCGTGAATTGAAAGCATTTCTGGCGGTGTGTCGTAATCAGGATTTTGGGTTGGGGTTCGGAGCTTCGCTGCAAGCTGAGAAGACCCGACGTCTAATATGAATTTTTCCCAAGATGTGTCGCCATGCCCCCATGCAATGACAATGAAAGGAGCTATAATGCACCGGCCACACCTGTGTAAACAACGACAGTCTGAATCCTAAGCCCAATGGATCCTTGAGAGGCTCAAACCGATAAACCCAAACACCGGAACAAAACTGACGCGGGGCGTCCTTGACTACAGAACATAGACATTGAGGTCTCAAAGCCCACGTAAAACTCCATACGATCGAAACAGAAACATGAAAACATGCAAATTAAAACTGAAACATGAACCCCAAGAAATCCAAACCCGTACCGTCCTTACAGCCCACAAAGCCGCCTTAAAGAAGTCTTAAAACCCATGGGAATTTGGATTAACATGCAAGCCGGCATTTTTTCCTTTACAATGTCTCAGACTTCCCGCGATTGGGCTCTGAGCTTTCGGGGCTAGGAGTCTGAGGTTTGGCAGTGCGCGGTTTCGATTTGCAGCTTAGCCTGTAGGGTGTAGGATCTGGGGTTTAACATACCGAAATAAAAAAAAACTCAGGGCTAGTCTGACGTTAAGATGGATCCTTGGCGGGCTTACCAAAGATCCGGTGAGGGTTTGACACTCGAAACTTTGAGCTTTGGAGTTGTCCTTCTACGCCATCGGCATCCCCTGAACCACGCAGTTGGCACGCACATAGCAAGTCGAAAGATCTAAGATACCTTAAACTAAACTGGCACCCGGTTCAAACCCAAACTACGATGGCACCCGGTTCAAACCCGATTCATAACACGCATGTCATGTGCCCAGAAACATGCAGCGTGTCACTCTCCAGAAGCTGAGTGCCGCGCCCACTCCCTCATGGTAAAGGCCTCCGGGGAGGTTGGCTCAACCCGAGTCTTACCAACATCCCAGGACTTAGTTCAGGTCTCACGTTTTCGAAGTGCCGCGAAGCCAAGCACCAGTTTACTGGGACAAAAAAACAAGTCAGGTGCTTGAGCTCGGTCCCGTTGTCAAAGGCACTTCTTCGTCTTCGGCCTCCTCGTCTGTTGCAGGCTCCACCTCGTCCAACACACCAAACTCCTCCCTGACCTCGCCTTTGACCTCCTGCTTGACCTCTGTCTTCACACTTCGTGATGGCTCAGACGGCAATGGTCTAATGGTGTTGGGCGCAAGCCCCAACCACCTTCGCTTCACGCCGCCCCTGACCAGCTCGTTGGGAATCCGCCGCGATGGCACAGGATCGTCGTCGTCGTCATCTACGGCTATAACGGTGGGAGCAGCAGAACCTTCAGCCTGGCCAGTTTGAGGTCGTGTCTCCGTGTCTTCACTTTTCGGTAACTGGAACGCAGCAGAACCTCGAGCCTGGCCAGTTTCAGGTGGCGTCTCCGTCTCTTCACTCTTCGGAAACTGGAACGGCCTCGAGGCAAACGGCAGGTGCTGAGTGCAAAGCCTTATCAAGTTGTCCGCCCAACTGCTGTTCCAAAGAGGCGCAGGCCGAGGCCGAGGTGCCGGCGCAGGTCGAGGCAGTTTCGGTGCTGCAGTTTCTCGTTGCACCGGCTGTGGAGGCGGCGCCTTTGGCGACACGTCACCAGGTGCTGGTCGCGGAGACGCCGGTGCCACAGGTGCCGACGCTGTCGAAGGCCTTGACCCAAAGGCTGCCGAGGGCGCGTGCTGCAGCAACCTTGTAGGAGTTGTAGGAGGCTCTTGAAGCGGCGCTGGTGGGGCCTTCCGCTTGCCACCACTTCGTCTCCTGCTAACTGGAAGTGGGTCGATCGGCGCATTCGGCTCAGCTCGCGCGGCTTGGCACTCGGCTGTGCGCTCCTCACAAAGAAAGCCATGTCGAGCCGGACGACCAGAGCTCCAGCACTGATGGCATCGCTTGCAACAGAATCCACCGAAGGGCTCAGTGCGGTGGACCAGGTATGAGCACTGCTCATTGGCACAAGCCAGCTCCATGGCATGCTACAGCAGTCGAGTCTACGGGCTCTGTTCCATGATATACACGGTTGTTTGTAGTACACATACGTACAACTATCAAATTCATGTTTAATTATGTATTCTAGCGGTACATATTTACAGGCAGTTCTTCTCGAAATTAGTGCGATTGATTTCTACATGCGAACTTTGCACTGTGGTGGCTGGCTGCGACAATCTAGAGCTACGCCCGCAGTCTGCGACCACACGCAATGGTCTCCCAGGCTTCACCACAACACAGCAGCGGCGAGAGACTCCGAATCCTCCAACAAGACATCCGAAAGTAAGTTGCACATAAACAGCTGTTGCAGAAAGTTGCAAGAGATTTGTCATGGGTAGAGATACAGGATTTCGAGCGCGCAGGTTTAGGTCTAAGGCTTGGGCTCAGGGTTGCCGGGTGTTACACGGACACGTTTCCCAAAGAAAACGCTGCAACCCGAGTTTCGATCCCTTGTGCTTCAATCCCAGAGTCCTAGTCCCGGAGCCACCTGCGTTGACACCCGAAGCTCTGAATGCCCCTCCAACCCTCCAGGGCTAGGGGAGGCTTAGGGATTCCAGCTTGGGTAGAGCGATTAGAGCACAGGGGGATTGAAGCCTTGAAGCCCCACGCCACGCCCATCATGGAATCTTGAAGCTAGTTCTTTACTCCCCTCCACCTTTTGACATGCTTGAAGCCTGGCTCGCCTAATATGAACCCCAACAGACAGCACGTTTGGCAAAGCAAACACCCGCCCCCAAACTCCGGGACATAAAGCTCAAACCCCCATCCCCGGCGCCGCAGCGACGAGGGCCACTGCAGCCACAGCCAAAGCTAGAGAGGCCACCTCGAACGGGGCTGCGCCGGCTATGCATCCCTCCAAAACGGGGCTTACTCTTTGCGAAGCGAGTTTGCGGTTCATGGTCCACTGTCGCTAAACCCTAAATCCTAATCCCCTAAAACCCTAAACCCTAGAGCCCTAAAGCCCTAAAGCCCTAAAGCCCCTAAAGCCCCCCAAACCCCCAAAACCCTGAACCCTGTAAACCCCAGGAGTTCGGGTAACCCGTAAACCCTGAACCCTATTAACCCTATAGGCCTGAAAACCCTATAAGCCCTATCATGCCTTATAAGCCCTATAAGCCCCGTAAACCCTATAAAACCTAAAAGCCCTATAAGCCCAAGAAGTTAGGTTACAAATATGCCCCAGGAGTTGAAGACGTCCTAGTCGGAGCCGAACAACAGGAGTGATTCTCCACATTAGGGCCCCGTTCGAAGGGGTCCATAAAAGGGATAAGGTGTTCTTTTCTTATTCGGTGGTGCTTCTGTTCCTAGGTCTGGCTGGCCTACCCTTGGATTTCGTCAAAAACGGCACACTTTCGCAACTAGAACAACCAGCCAGCTGAGACCGCGAGACCGGCTGAGACGGTGGCCACGGAGAGGTAGGAGTAGACCCGCATTGGGATGAAGACCATAACGACCTGAGAGGCTCTCGGAGCTTCGGCTCTTCTTGGGCTTGGGATGCAACCTCCAAGGCCAGGCGAAACCCGGCAAACTCCCTCGGCCTCATTACACTATAGTACATTACATGATATTGCAGTACATATTACAATATGTTCTATGATATTACTATATTACACTATAGTACATCAATATTGCAGTATATATTACATCATGTTCTATGATATTACACTGTAGTAAGTTACATTACTTCCCACCACACCGTGCACGAAAAGGCGTGCAGCTTCTGCAAGAAGACCACATTGCTGACGCATACGACGATGCTGTGACTCATCGTGTCGCCGTGAAGATTAGTTGATGATCACGACGGTGACCATGATCCGGCGAATCTCATGTTACTTGCTGTTAGCATTATTGGTCGTAAACGAACCCCATGAGGATCCTTATTGCAATGGTGGTGAACATGAAGAAACATCAGGCACAATATGCCACACTGAGAAACAACCAAAGGCCAGCACAACAACTTCTAAACCAGTGGCCCGGAGCCTCAACCCCTGAACAGTTGTAGAAACCCAGAAAACAGGCCGGAAACCCGAAATTGCAATGTTTTCGGAAGTCCCTAAAGCCTGAAACCCTAAACTTCTACAATCGAAACCAGATCAGCCCAAAGCCCGAAACCCGGCGCTTGGGAACCGGACTGCAAGGATACAGGAGGTCACGGAAGCTACGCCTGCCCCGACCTCCGGAAAGACCTCCAGTTTGTCTGCTGGCTTCAGGGTTTGGGAATTGGTGGCTTGGGGTTGGGGTATTTAGGGTTTCCGAACCTGAAGCTTTAAAGCCCTGAACCGTGGACCCCAAACCCTGAACAGTTTCAGGATGTTTCTAGGGGTTACAAGTTTAAAGCTCGGGACTGGCACGCTCAGGGGTGTGGAGGCTGTAGGTTAGCGTTCTCGGAAGGCTTCCATACACCCTGTGGCCCTAGTTCAGGGATACACTTCAGGATGACATTACAGATCTCCTATACTTTCAATCCATTTTGCAAATCTACTCACGAAGTAAGAGTGCTGTTCGTGCAAGGCACAGTCTACAAAGCCTTTTCATATGCTTCTATGGTACTGGTTTGGAGCGGCTTGAAGGGGTCCTGCGTCGAAGTCTGAGGGCTTTGTTCGGCTGAGTTTCTCGAGTCTCCTCAGCACCCTGGCCCAGATCTGGCAACACATGTAGGGGCCTTAATGATTCGAATAGGGGGTCTAGGCCTTGGCTTCAACCTTTTGACTCAGGGTTCGGTTTTGGACCCTCACCCCACGGCCCTGATCCTCAAACAATACACTCCCAAGCCCTCAAACGTTGCACCAGAAGCCCCCGAATCCCAACCCCTGCAACCTCACTCAAAATGGCTCAACCCAACTCCAAGGGTAAAAGGAGGGCTCTAGGTATATACCCTTAATATAGCTATTATATATACCCATTATATAGCCCATTATGGGGTAGGGGTCCCCATTAAGGGTCCCTCCTTTTCCCCTTCAACATCCCGGATCCGTAAAGCCCCAAAACCCCTCAAACGATCAAACCCAGCATCGCCAACCTCATTAGCAAGGCCCTCCGATGAGAAATGACAAGGCCCTACTCTGAGGAGCATTAGACTTAGTAAGTAAGGCTATAAGTACCCTAATTAGGGCTATAAGTAGATATAACTAGAGTTACCTTACTTATAACCCTACTTACTAAGTCCAATGATGCTGTAAGTAGACAGCAGAGCCCTACTCCCCTCAAACCCCGGCGAACACTGACCTGGACATCCAAAACTCGCCGCCGGGAGCCCGGCTACGGAGACGTTCACGCCGTTCATGACCATGAAGGTGACGAGAGCAAACCTGGGTTTAGGGTTCACAGGTTATGGGTGACTTTAGCAAACCTTGGGGCTTCTGAAACCCAGCAGGCTGTCGTTCAGGGGAGGAGAAGATTGCTTGTTTTGGGGCTTGGTATTTGGGTTTCAAGGTTGAAGGTGGATTCGATGTGTAGAATTCGGAACATGGTGCGAAGAGCTTGGCGGTCACGGTAAGCGGTTAGTGTACGCTGACACATAAAGGAACCGAAGGAAACCTTGGGCATGCATTCCTGCTCGGCGATAGTTCTTCACAAACAAGATGACCATGCATGCTGCACCAAGAGTTCTTTCGCTGTCCATGCCAACCCTACAAGGTCCAGGCTTGGTTTTACATAGCTTCGGGACCTTAAATGCAATCTCAAACTACGGGCCTCGGCTTTAGTTGATGGATACTCTAGCACCAAGCCCCAAACACTGCTAAGCCACAAGGAGAGGTATCTCCTTTCCTGAAACTCAAAACCCAACAACACAGGACCGGGCCAAACTTCAACACTGGTCACGAAGGCGATGAGTGCGGCCCCTCGACCTGGAGACGTGTTGCAGGTTGAGAGCTTTGAGGGTTTAGGGCTTGGTTTAGGGTTTAAGAATTTTGAGGGTTCAGGGTTTGGTTTACGGGTGTGGGGTTTAGCATTTAGGGTTTAGGGCTGTTAGGGTTCAGTGCTCTCCTTGGCCTTCGGATGTCAGCTTAGGGTTTAGGGCTTTCGGGGCTTTGCAATTTTGTAGTCAGGTCGAGCTGCAGGGCTTCGGGATCGTGAAGCTACGTGATCATTTTCTGCATGTGACTCTGCCCGGTGGTAGGTTTCCGAGTTGGGATCTATTGCGCTGTCTTCTCCCAGCTACTTGACACTTGAGACCCTAAACCCTCCTGAAGAGCAAGCCCTGAACGCACCAGATCCCCAACCCTGGACCCCCAGCACCAGAAACTGGAGCCCGAAACCCCGAACCCTCAACTCTGACTCCTGTAAGACCTGCGGCTCTAGACCCAACAACTCTGAAAGCCGTAGGCACGAAGACTCTGAGCCCTCGGCTTTAGGGAATGGCGGCACACCCTCAACTCTCAACAGAAAGACGATCACAATCATGAGCACAATAGTGAACAAAAAACACTAGATGTAGAACATAAGAGTGGTGATGAGTGACGACAGTACGAGTACCAATACTAGCTAGAGCATCAAATAATGTACAGCAGAGGGCACAAGCCACATCACCAAAATTTCAGCCGATGCAACAAAAAAGCAGCAAAAGCTGCATACTTATAGCTCCGTATCCCAAAACCCTAAACTCTAAAACCCTAAACCCTAATCCCTAAACTCTAAGACCCTAAATCCTAATCCCTAAAAAACCCTCCGGGGCCCCCGGGGACCTCCGAAGCCCACGTGAGCCAAAAAGGTAAAGTCCCGGCCTGGCGCCGCCAGGCGGCGGAAAAGCGGTGCTTTTCTGGTTTAGGGTTTTAGGGGCTTAGGGTTTAGGGTTTTTTTGGTTTAGGGTTTAGGGGTGTCGGGGTTTAGGGCTTAGGGGTTTAGGGTTTAGGGTTTTTTTGGTATAGGGTTTAGGGTTTAGGGCTTAGGGTTCAAGTTTAGGGATAAGGGATTAGGGCTTTCGGGGTTTAGGGATTAGGGTTTTAGAGTTTGGGGTTTAGGGTTTAAGGGGTTAGCGGTTTAGGGTTTGCGGTTTCTCGAAAACAGCGGGTGAGAATTTCCGGCTCGGCGCTAAGGGCTGGAGAGGTTGACCTTTAGTGCTGGATAAACCCCAAGGCCCAGATCGGAGGCAGGGTCGGATCTTGACTATCGGCCTGGTAACCCCACTAACAGGTTTGCAAAAGCGGAACTACGGGACCTTGCTCTTACCCTGCACCGAAGAGCACTACAATGGAGAGCCGCGCTAATCTCAGAGGGTCCAGCTCCGCTTTAGCCAAATATCTCAAATCACGTTGAGGATTACAAAGCCCTCTGTGTCAGAACGGTGAACTTCCGGGGACCGGGGAAAACCACCCAATGCTCGATGCTTTCATGAATAAGCCCCAAAACTTCAACCCTGAGCCGCACACCCTAAACCCAAAGCCAAACAATGCCACATAGTAAATAGTGTTGGGCCCCTTTCCCTGGGTCTGACCTCGTGGAGGCACCGAGGCTGCCTGCGGGCTCCTGTGCACGCGGCTCAAACTACAAGACTGTTACTACTGGAGGTGGACATATCCGAAAATCCGTCCGGAAGCTTAGCGCATCTTCTGAAGCTCGTACGGTACCGAAGCTACTGTAGACCTGTAAATGCTATGTTCTTATAAGAGTATGCAGCCTTCCCCGAAACTCTCTCAAAACCCGAGCCCCTCAAAACGATATACGGTGTGTGCTGGAGCTAGAGCTTCGGATTTTTGATTGGGAGAAACCACCGTTCAAGATTTGGGCGATTTGGGATCGGGGATTCAAACTCTGAGTTGTAGCGGGTCAGAGCTCTGCAATTTGGGTTTCGGGGTATGGACTGCAGTTGCAGGGCATGAAATCCCGGCATCTTTGATTTCGCTGGGTGGACGGTATGTGGGGAACATGCCTTCTTGAACCATCGCCGCTCAAAGTAGCCGCTCTTCCTGCCGAAACCATCTTAGCACCCTTAGCTGTCGACCCGAAGCAGGTGATGAATCTAAGAAAAATCCAATGAAATATGGCATATGACATAACATAATCGAATGTAATAGAATGTAATAAACTGTATGTATATATACAAAGGGTTTCAAGGCAGATGCAAGTAGCCGACTCCTGCTGGCAAGCTGCAATGCCTCATTGCCGGACGGTTCAGGTGGTGTTTAGGGTTTGGGGCTTGCACAGGGTGTATGGGGCGGGATCTGGAGGCTTATACCTTCAGTGGTTTTATGATGCAGGGATTTACTATAGGGTCTGGACATCAGGAGGGTTTCGCACCTGCAAACTCATCATATTCTGGCGCTGCTCACGTCCACGGAGGAAGCTGGGGAAGCTGCTGAACCTATGAACACACCCGTCTGTGCAGTGACCAGGATGGTCACCAAAATCAACCTGGCAGGGTTTAGGGTATCGGATGTTGGGTGCTTATAGGGTTGAGCTGTTTAGCTCATCGGGTTTGGGTTCATGGCATCAGTAATGTGGTTTAAGGGTCTAGGGTGTCCGGATTCTGGCCTGCAACTTTTTGGGCATCATGTTGCTTAGGACGTAGGTTCGGACAAGGGGCCAGCCATGCCACGGACTAGACAAAGATCAGACCATACTTGCACCACTTCCTGGGAGATACCCAACCATGCTTTGTGCATTGATCACCTCGTTACTCACCCACACCCGAACCCGAAACTCTACCTTCTCCTATTTCACGACTCTCTCTACTCGCGGCTAAACCCTGGCGCTCACGACGCGGCGCACCACTTGAAGCTGGAGCACAACAGCAAATGCTGCAAGGTCAAGGACGGCAGATATTTTACAGCAAAGAGATGGGTTCTGAAAATCCAAAGGCTGTGACGGTCTGATTTCGCACAGATTCGTTACATCTTGTATTTGCCACGGCTCTTCGCAAAAACTGCGAAGACTCTGAAGCAAAAAACTCAAATCCGCAAGAACTCATGTCTGCATCTCCGAACCCCCAGCAAACCTAATGGAGCACAAACAACTACTATGTGAAGGCCCTCCCAATCCGAAATCATCACCTCTACAACCCTCAACCCTGGGCACTAACGAAATAAGCCTCGAACGACAGACTCGCCGCCCTGAGCATTACTACTCTACAGTACACTCGTTTTCAAATTAACCTCAACCTCCAACCCCACAACACCCTGCCAGGGTCACAGTATCGAAACATAGCCGCTCAGGCGAAAGGCATACCTTGATCTGGCTGGCTTCTATAACGGCTTTGCGCTTTAATTTCTAGAGGGCATTTACACAGGGCTGTGTTGGATCTTTTTCAGAGTCGAGGGCTAAGGCTTTCGGGTTTGCAGGACGCGAGGGGATGTCAGCTTCGGTTTTTTCTGGCCGATGGTCTAAGTCTAAGGTCTGTGTGATGAATGTAGGTTTCAGTGTAGTGCTCGATTTGCAGACTCTAGCGCCTTAGTGGTGGTCCACTCAGAATTTGGAGATGTGTTGCGTCTTTGCAGCCTGAAGTTGCGCCTTACTTCTGTTGGCATTTTGTGCCTCAGAAGTCGACCCAAATGCTGTCATCAGTATGTGGAAAAAACAACATTATTAGTGCTATAGGGTTGGAGCTCAGACGTTGGAACGTCTTCAACGAGATGCCTGTGCAGCTCTATTCAAGAATTCTTCGGAAACAACACCTGAGACGGAACGGGTCTGATGGTATCTGTCACTGCGATTCTCTTTCTTCTACTTGGAGGATCATGGGACTTAGTAAGTAGGGTAATAAGTACCTTAATTAGCGTTTTAAGTAGATATAATTATAGTTACCTTACTTATAACCCTAGTTACTAAGTCCCCTGATCCTTTAAGTAGGTTCAGGATTTGAATCGATGTTACATGTCAGTTCTCGGAACTTGTCCCGTCAACGACTCGCTTCCACCGCCTCGAAGAAGTTCTGGAGGGGATTGGCTCTGCTTATCCCGGGACAAGATTGCGATGTAGGTGGCACATTTAAGTCATTCAAGGCGAGACCCAATTAGAGCAGCTCCATCAGCATTTTGAGGCAGCCCCTACCCACCCACCCGCCCGTTCAACCTGCCAGCTGAAGAATGACTAAGACCCGAGCGGGATGCTCAGCACGCCGACTCCCAGGACCTCGGCACTTCGGTTTTTCTTTCTCTTCGTGGGTGGAATATAGGGGCCTTAATAATTACAATTAGATAATTAGTATAGGGTCTTTGGAGCCCATCGTACTATAATTATAATAAGGAACCCCCAGATGCTCTTCACGCAGCGGACAAGATGTCGCTTTAGCGGTCGCGCCTTGCTCCGCACATGTGACACGTGCAGCATTGCTTATGGCGGTACGTGATCACATACCGCAGCAATGCCATCTGCTGCTTAAAAACGATGAACTCCATGTGGTCTATGGCCCCACCCCGTGCCTTTGGCAAAGCAGTGTGAGAGTCATACGCCACGCGAGAATTCCCTTCCTGCCCAGATCCAGGCCGCAGGATTGCTGTTCTCCTCTGAGGATCCCCAGATTTCACTGGCACGCTTTCCCCGAGCAGAACACGTGCTACAATCATCTGGCGCATGCCATGGGCATGATTGCACTGGACGCATGTAGCATCAGCCGCACACAAATCACAGGTCGTGTACAAATCAGACTTTGAGGCGTTCTCTGCGAAGTAGGTGCCTTGCCCAAACATCGCACCAGTAGCTGTCCCACTCAGTTGCGGATCGAATCCGGATCTGGCTATGCTCTCAATGTGTCCTTTGGGGCAGCCATGGAAAAGCAGGTACTCGTTCAGGTCCTCTTGGCCAGACTTTCCACTGCTACATTTCCACGCAGAAATGCCTTCAATTTCTGAACATCCCTGCGGGTTTCTCTCCCGAACCTCACCTGTCCGTGCTGCTTCGTAAAGGCTTTGCATGTTGCTGTTCACGACCTCCTCAATGGCTGTTATTTCCACATTCGGCGGCTCGCACCAAACGTCTGACTTCCGGCTGGCTCGATGCATCACCATAGACTGGAAGAACATATCCTCCAAAGCACGAAACTCTGGATGCAGACGGTCTAAAGGTCGTCGAAGGAACTTACCGTTGCCGCTAGCAAGATTGGCGGTGCTTGACAATGTCGCCGTGTCCGGAAGATCCAGACCACACAACAGCTGCCGGCCGACGTCTTTCAGCAGTCGCTGCAGCTCAAGACGTTCAGAGCTCTGTGCCTGGACAGATTCCTCCTGCATAGCCAGGTCTTGTGCCAATTGCTTTATCTGAGACCTCTGGACGTGGAGCTGATGTTCTCGTAGAGCCAGATCCTGCCTCATTGTCACCTCCGCTGCCATGAACCCGAGTACCTCGCACTGTTCTCTTTCCAGCTGTTGCGTCAGCTCTCGAATCTTATGCTCTTGAGCTCTTAGTGTGGCTTGCACGGTCGCTTGCATGTCCAGCACCATTTGTCTGCGAACGGCTCGCTTCCTGCTTGTTTGACAATTTGTTTGCATTAAGTTCTCCAGATCGATGTCGTATCTGTATCGGTCGATGGTCACTTGCAAGCGCGCTTGGCATAAAATGAATGCCTGCTCGATTTGCTCGGATGACTCAAATGAAAAGGGCTTCCATACATCCGGTTCAGAAGCTAAGAACTCCCACTGAGGCATCACACAAATCTTTGCCGGAGACGTGGGATACGGCCAGCTGGTGCATCGCGTCGGCAATGGCAACTTACGGGCAGCCGCATAGCCCGGGACCACTGTACCAGCCATGCTGAGCTCGAAAATTCGGGAACAAGGGTTGAAATTGAAACCCAAGCTGGCGATGAAGCAGGAGTCAGCAGTTTTCCTTGCATGTCGTGTAACTACTACATGTACATGACAGAGCTGTCCCCACTGTGTCTGCAAGAAATCCGTGCCAAAGTCCTTTGAGAGGTAAATCTCTGCAAGCACAGATATCCATCACACACTCACCATGCGCTCCCCTGAATCTCTGGCGTGCACGTGCATTTTCTTGCAACAATGACACGTTGTGTTACCTCCTTCCTGTGTGAAATTGGACCCGAACATCCATGCTCGAACACTGCAAATGCAAGTTGAAATCTACAACATGGTATAGCAGTTATCCCGACTAGGGAGAAATCAGTTGAAAGATGGTTGGCCAACTACATGATGAAGTACAATTAAGCTCTCGAATGAGGCAACATCGGTAGCATTGCAGCTTTTTGTGGCTGCAGTGCTACAACCTCACGAACTCAACCGTCAGTCCGAAGTCGAACTGGCCCCCTGGCTTTCAGGGTCCTAAGTGTTGATTGCCAAGAAATCGTACTACTACATACCGAACAAGGCCTTCCTGCTACAAATCTTGCGACTACAGTCAACAAAACCTGCACGCCACATAAACCCTACTTTACATGCTTGCCCTTTCGGGAGCCACCAAAGAAGGTCCCTAAACCCCAAACCCTCAACCCTAAACCCTCAACCCGAAGCCTTTAGAAAGGGGCAAGATCGCAAAGTCCCAGGCAGTGTTGGCGAGGTTGAAAACCTAGGACGCCAGTCTTGGCTCTCTGAACCTAATAGGCTTTAGGTTTTTTCTTCAGGTTGGGTTTAGGCTTACCCATACTGTTCCTGAGAATATACCCCAAACCCCTATTCTGATTGCTGAGGCTTGTATGTCAAGCGTAACCACCGTTCTTTAAGAGGCTTGGAGATCTCTACTAGTTTGTTGCTTTGGGACATCTTAAAACTTCGGGAAGTAGCGGAGTCGTGGTTTTAGAACTTGCAAACAGAGTTTCCGACTTGAGCGGTTCAGACGCTTTGGAGTTTCGGGTGGGTGCCCCCTGTCAGTTGTGGGCTTGATGAGGGCACTGACGACTTCGAGTGCCCTGGCGGGCTTTAAGGCCTTGATAAGTCTAGGGCCTCTTGGGAAACGCCCGCAGCCCGAACATCCAAAACAACCGTCAAACCATGCACAGACCACGGCAAAAACCGTGCTGCTCCAAACCCCAAGCCGCGAAGCCTACAACCCTTGAACCCAAAATCCTGTGCAGCCCGGTTCAACTCTGCAGAACACACTTTACCCCTAAACCCTTATTCTAAATTAGGCCCTTACACCACACATGATTGCACGAAAAGACTGCGTTGCAGCACCTGACAGCCTGCAAACAGGGAAACTCAATGCCCACGGCGTCAAGACTAGTGTCATGGCGGGTTGCTTCCTGAATTTTGCAACCCTGCCCCCCCTCCCCATCCTGCCCTCCATAAAGTCTCATGGATCCAACCCTTATCTGACAGGCCCGCACAACCCTTAACCCCCCCCGTAAACCCGGAAGGTTCCGAACAATCTGTAGAACTACGAGAGAAGCCACAAAAAAACTAACAACAATCCTACAGCCTCACAACAATTAACAGTGATCACAAGCCATCGAAGAAAACTCATAGTAATTAGTAACAATCAGAGGCCCCTGGCGGCTTCCGAAAGGCTGAGCTCGTGCTCTGTCCTGCTTGGCTTGTTGATGGCTGTCAATCGAGTTCAGGAGGGAAAGTAAGACGTTCAGGCTTAGCGGTTTAGGGGTTTAGAGTTTAGGGGCTTGGCGTTTACAGTTTCGGATTCAAGCGCTCCAGGGTGGTTGGTTTTGTTTGGGCATTTGGAGGCTTTGGGGCTTCTCATGAGATTTGAAACTTTACCGGCAGAATGCAACAAGCCTTGTAAAGACTGGATGATACGTTACAGCTTCATGCGCTGTAGGTCAGCTGAACGAAAAGCAAGAAACCCAGGTACTGAAAAGTGTGCAAAACCCGTGACTGTCGCCACACTTAGTTTAAACTTTCTCGAAGTATGAAGTATGCTGCAACGCATCCTGCTGGAATTAGCTCAGCTGCAGTCGAAATCGAAAATGGCGTCCTCTCATGACATGCATGTATGCCAAAGCTCCAGCTAGAGTCAGAGCAGTTCAGGGCCCAGACTCACTCCTAAACTCTTAAACAGGAGGCCCTCATATAGGGGCCTTAACAATTAGAATAGGGTTTTGGGGCCCATGCTACTCCAAGTACAATAAAGAACCCCCAAAATAATTTAGGTAATTATTTAGACCCCTCTATTACAACCTCAAACTTCCACCCTCGGTCCCTGAAACGCTGAACTGTACCGTGCAAACCCTGAACCCTCAAAACGAAACGCTGCCCAGAGAGCCCAATACCCCTTAATCAAGGAATATGGCTTAAATCATAATATGAAGCCCTATATAATTTAAGCCATATTCCTTAATTCCTCTATAGAACCCCTATAGATCCCTTTAAGAAGCCCTTTAAGGAACCCTAGGTATTCCTTCATTAAGGGGTATTGGGCTCTCTGGCTTCCAACCTCGGGGTCGCTGGCGTGCCTGGAAAGCACAGAGGGCAAGCGGATGCAAGCGGCAACCACCCGAACGGTCCAGGCTTGAATCAATCTACACTATGTTGGGGCTTCTTTATTGTAATTGGAGTATAATGGGCCACAAAACCCTATTCTAATTGTTGAGACCCCTAACTGAGGGGTTTGGGGATTCCTTGAAGGGTTTGGGCGCCTGTAGACTTTCGGGGAGTGCCTCAAAGCTACAGACTTGCAGGTTTAGGATTCAGGGCGGAAGGGCTGAATCCAAGGGATCGGAATCACGGTAAGGCAGCATTCTTTCCTGCCCTGTCCCGACTCCCAGACCTTATTCATCGCCCCCACCTGCTTTCTTGACTTCCTCTTCGAGGAGTAGAGGTCCTTGGGCCGTGCACACCAGTCAAGAGCTTCACATGACTCCGAAAGGCTTGCAGCTTTCCAAGCTGAGTGTCTTTACAGTGTTTGACACTGACAGGTGCTAGATATTCGGCGGTGGCGGTGGCGCTGGCGGTGCTGATCACTGTGCTGCTCGACGCCGCATAGACTAAGCAATGACTGGATAGACATAATCATAGCGTTGTAGTCATAGTGCTGTTGGTATGAACAGCCCTACTGCTCGTATCGCCAGGTCCGATGCCGAAAGCACAGCCATAAAGTCATGGTCGCAGTACAGAGTGAGAAGTAGGGGTATAGGGACAGCAACGGCAGCAGTTTCATTCCTCTTCAGACAGCTCAGCTTCCGTCCACTCGTCCGCACAGGGATCCAAGCCGGGGACGCCAATACTCCGTGACGCTATAGGACCGACCCAAAAGCCCTGAAGCCCAGTCACGATCCTGGAACCCAGAGCCCAAAACTCTGAACCTAAGCAGCGTTGGGTTTTGAGCGTAGCAATATTCACGTCGCAGGGCCTAGGTGTTTTTGAATGCTTGCATCCCTGCGGACCCTGTGGTGTAAGCGCAAGTCTTCGGGTCTTTTGGGGCTTCCGGGTTTAGAGACCTTTAACGCGCCAACCTCAGCCTTAAGATGTTTGTCCAGCTTGTTACGGGACACCAGGGGTTGATCATGGCGACTGTAGGGGAACCCATCTCCTGCCCCGACAGATTGCAGGCTGTTTTGCCGCACTACAGGGAACTCCAGAAAGTTGGAATATGGTTTCATGGTAGGATACCCTATAACTTGCCATAGAAGGGTTAGGATTTAGGATAATCATATTCCAACTTTCTGGCTTTTACTTTACTACCAAGAGTGTCCAAGGTGCAAGACCCATAGACATGGCACCAAATTCAACATACCCCGTTGCAGCTTAAGGTGTGCTGACAACACCTCAACCCCAAACCCCAAACTCCCCCAACCCTAAACCCTACATCAGCTCTTAGCAATTCGACACCGAGCTGAGCCCAGAGCGGTATGGAGCGTCTGCAGATTCCTGGAGTTTGCGAGTCCATCGGTCATGCCTGGAGGCGTGTGAAGCTCAAGGTCTCAAACTTCCAGAGCCTACACCAAGACTCTTCTACCAGAGGTGACACTTTCGAATCTGCTTGCTGCAAGCCACTAACTTTAGGGTGTACGGTCTCGAGCAGCCCAAGAAAAAGACCGGATGAATCGTCCAGCCCAGAACTTGAATCAGGCCAGCCACGCAACTAAATCGGCACACAACATGAGACCCTGAGAAGCAGTTCAAAGCATAGTTCAGGGCACACCGCAAGCCACACTGCAAATCCTAAATGCCCAAAATGCCTGGAACCATTCCATACAACATCCTCACCCCCTCCGAAGTCCGAAACCCCCCAACGCACTTTCCCTTTATTTTCGTAGTATACCCACAAACCCTGTTCTGAAACGGGCAGTGCCCGGTCCCGCGACCGATCGCCCTGTTCCGTTACGCGGAGCGGAGGTAGCTTGCAAAGCCTTGCTTTAGCAATAGCGCAGCCGGCAGCGTCGCCGACCGTGCTTCATTCGACCTGCGTTTCTCCAGTGGGTCATGTTCGACCTCGTTTGGAAACTGACTCGCCAACGCATGTATTCTTCGGCCATTCCCCACTGCATGGCGGATTTTGGGGCACCCGTAAATGACCCAACGGGGCATCCGGCGAGAATCATGAGCACAGGCGAGAGCGAAAGCGGACTACAAGGTGCGGGGCGATGTTGTGCATGTTTTGGAGTGGGCGTCGGTAGCGCACATGGGACGCGCATCGTCAGCATCAGCGGGGCCCTGGGGCCACGGAAGAGGAAACCCTTGAACCCAAAAATCCAAAAACCAACTCCTAAGCTCCTAAGCCTTAAAACCTAAGTCCCTTGAAGGCCCCGATTTCGAAACCCCACAATCCTCTCAGCTGATGGCCGCGGGCTCACGAGCAGCTCCGCGGAGTCGTGAGAGCCCACGGAATAGACTCCCTTTTGGGGGTTTCGGGTTCAGGGGTCTCTCAAGTCGAAAGCCGAGACAGGATACAAAACCGTCGTTATAGAGTTACCATATGGATTACTTATCTGGTTAGTACAGGGCCTCTGCAGGCTCTACTCTTGAAAGGAGAGAAGCGCGACACAAAAAGTTAACAGCAACAAAAAATCATCACGTTCACCACAAAGGGTTCCTATACGATTACTTGAAGGGTTACTACAGCGTCTCTGGGGCTTGCAAGTTTGGAAGGGTAACAAAAGAAGAGTGCTTTAGTCTTGCTACGCAGGGCTGCCAAAAAGAATGACCTACAGGGTTACTGGAGGTGCTCCTATAAGTGCTACTGTTCGACGCGTGCAGCTGAAACTTGGAAGGGCGAAGGGTTCAGGCTTGAGGCTCAGCGGTTTCACAGGTTTTTGGGTTATAGGATTCGGGGGTCTAGTGTGTTTAAGGGTTGATGGATTGAGGGCTTGCAGCTGGTGGTTGAGGTCTTTAAGTTCTGGGCTCAATGCTGCAGGGCTCGGGGTTTCGCGGTGCTCAACTTACGGCTCAGCTTCGCGATTTGTTGCTTGCAGCTTTCGAATGTTGGGCTCACGGGGTATTGTTGAAGTCTGAAGTAGAAGCACGTTTGCCTGTCTAGCACAGCAATATTAGTAGGACGATCACTCGCTCGCGATCTACGCTCAAGCGACTGTATATATCTCAGGTCCCAGGGTATACTGACGAGACCCGGTCCAGTGTATCTATGCAGCAAAAAACACCAGGTGAAACCCCAAAAGGCCTCCCAGGGAAGCCAATGCGCCCGCGGGCCTCGCCGACCTAATACCAGGAGCATATCATAGTATACTCAGAAAGGTCTCCCTAGCACATAGTGTTACTAATCATTTAGGTGTGGGTGTTTTTTGGCAGCTCTTGTATGCAGTGGAATATGTGGGGCTGTTGATTGATTTTCCTAACAGAACAGAGTTCCCATAATGCCCCTCTTGTCCCAAATACAGACTGTAGGTCACGTGCACGAAGGTGAAACCGAAGAGGCCTGAAGCCAAGACCCGAATGAAAGGGCCTTAATAACTGGAAGGGTCAGCATTACACTTCCGAGCTAGTGGAATCTAGAACTGCTTGGCATTAATCTCTCTGGATGTAAATTCGATTGCGGAGATCATGCCCCGAACGCCATGCAACCCAAAATCTACAACCTAGACTCGCCCTAAACCCAGAACCCTACTTAGTGGATCATTGGACTTAGTAAGTAGAGTCATAAGCAAGGTAACTCAACTTATATCCTTAAAGCCCAACTAAAGTACGTTTAGCCCTACATACCGAGTCCTCCGATCCGCTAAGTATGGACCCTAGCTAGATCCCCAAAAGGCTAAAGGCCCCGGGCGATGCTCGGGGAGGAAGAGGTTCTGCCGGGACGGGATCACGTTGAGAGCGGTGGCCTCGGTCTTTAGGAGTAAAAGTTTACAGGGAAATAGTAGACGGGCATGGGGTTTCGCAAACAAACCCAAAAAGCAATTCTATTGGAGACTACACTGAAGAATCCGTATCCTAAATCCAAAAAACCTTAAACCCGAAACCTATAAATCTTACGCGCGGTGCTGGGGTCCTAAAACCCACGGTTCAAAAATGTTGCGACCCCTTGCAGAAACCCTATGAACGGAGGTCGGAGCGAGGTGGACCTCGCAGAACCCACGCATAGAACCTTCGTAGAATCCCTTTCAAAATCCTCTGGGCCGGGAGCATGGGGCTCAAAGGTGGCACCAGCAGAGACGCTGCGGGCGAAACCTCGGGCGGACGAAAGGCCTTTCTGGGGAGGCGACTGTTGTTGTGCCCAGGTTTTGGTATAGGGTTCCTTCTACCATTCTACACGGCTGATTGTACAATGTCCGGGTTCAGGTATTATAGGGTCTAAATAATTACAGCGGCGTTTTTTGAGTCTCCATTAGACTATTAATCAAGAAAGGCTCTATGGCGTAGGGTTTGGAGTCTGGGGGTTTGGGGGGCTTTGGGCTTGGATTGTAGCATTTTACGGCTTCAGACGAAAGTTGGGGGTTTGTACGGTTTAGGAATTGAGGGGTTGGGGGGTAGGGTTTAGAAGGTTTGTGTTTTCAATAGTTCGGGTCTGCGTTCAGATGACATGATTGGGATTGTCGGTGTGATCAAGATTGCGGCTTTGAGAGTTTCAGGGTTTAAGTTTGGGATATGCGTGAGAACAAGATGAGATCATAATTTCGAACATCTGACCAACCGGGTTGGTAGAGCTTCAGCTTGCGGTTTCAGACGTCGCAGCCTCCGTTTGAAGGCCTAGGGCGACCTGATAGACCGAGTGAGCAGGGCTCGAAGGCCGGAAGTACTTTCCAAGTAGGAGCCTTCTTCAGGAAACTGTGACGGGTGTCGAGTTTGAGGTTGAGGGTTGCGGGCTCGGAAACCCCAAGCCACAGACCGTATGTCTACGCTTTGCAGGATTGAACCGAGCCCTTCCAGGCTTGGGGATGGGCCCATGGCGCTCTCAATCCGCCCTCCACGCCCCTGGATGGCTCGGTGTCTGGATCTCCAGGCTTCGGAGCTTCAAGGATGTAAGGGTTGCAGGTTCAGGGCTTGCGGCTCGCTGTTCCGGGTGCAGGGACTACGTAGGCTTGAGATTTAGGCTTCTGGGTTTGAGGGTGGGATCTGCTCTCGGCCTCTCCGTGGGTTCGATGAGCCAGGTGGAAGCACGAGTCATGAACTTCTTGATAAGCCAACAGCTGCGAGGATTCGGCGCAGGCTGTCTTGCTTGGATCCGTCACCTTCAAACCGCCAGAGAGTCCTAGCCATCGGCAAGTCATCGAGAGTTTCAGCAAGCATACCAGGGAAATCTTCATGATGTGCCCTGTGACGACAAGTGGTCGTACCTGCCGTGGTGGCGAACGGCGTGAAGGCCAAGAGCAGCGCTATGCGGCGAAGGTGGTAGGCCCTGGTGTTAAGATGGCGAGTTTTGACTGAACTTAAACTAAACTGTTACTTTGCCAGCCGGTTTAAGTTCAGCCGCTTTTTTCAGGGATAAAAACACTTGAATGGAAGATAGACCGGCTCACAAAGGATGCAGGAACCAGACTTGTCTCACACTGACGATGGCAGTGTGTGATAATGATGGTAGTGTGCGATAGCCGAACCATCAAGTCTGGCATGACTCCGACCATCAGATCTTGTTGCCACACACGCCTCAGCGACATGATGGATGTGAAGGTCACAAGAGTCGATAGACCCTAACATCCAAAACACAGCACCAGACATCCTTAACCAAGTCGGGCAAAGTGCTGTTGACAATCCGGCGCGAAGGGTCTATCACACCACCCACATATGACCAACATATTTCTCAACCAGAGTCGTTCTCTCTCGTCTTCTACAATACCATCTGTTGTCACCCATGTTCTCGCTATTGCTACTTGCCACAAACTACTTTCACTTGTTGTCATATGCGACCCGCTGCTGCTATCTGTCACTGCGTGCGACCTGATGCGGCTCTCTGGTCTTCGCTCGGTCATTTCTGACTTGACAAAAATCTGGCTGCCACTGTCGATGGTGTACAAGGAATGTAGCTGTCAAACACACATGAGAGAATCTCCGGAGAGCCCGCGCCTCAAGCGCAAGTCCAGCTTCGTCAACATGACCTGCGCTGTTACCACCCCGTGTGGAGTCGCTGGGTGCAGGTTTGAGGTGGGGCCCAGATCCCAAACACGAAGTGTCGAACCACACAGCCCTACGGCATTGACCATTTCTGGAACAGTATGCTGCGCTGTTGATGATGATGATGATGATGATGATATATAAAATATAATATATACATATATATATATATATATGCCTAGCAACTTGCACTTGCCAGCCGGAATAAAAGTACCAGTACTCTTATTCTCGCTTATGATGTACAATTGCTTGTGCTGTGTACTGTTGGTCCCTGTCTTTTCAGGGCTTCACCGTACAGGATGCCGGAGGTGTAGTGCAATGGCCTGGACAGTCGTTAAACGGAGAAAAGTCTGCGTACTATGTGCGCATATAATACATACATGCATACATACATGCATGCAGTCATACATAGATACATACGTACATACGTACGTTACGTATCTATGTAGACATACATGCATGCATAGATACAAGACAGACATGCATACGTTGGTACAAGACAGACAGATAGACAGACAGGCAGGCAGGCAGGCACTTCGAAATTATGCTTAAAGGACATGGCTTGCCGGGATATCCGGGGGTTTAGAATCTTGAGTTTCAATCAGGTTGAATCAAAAAGCGGACCACGTAGATTCCTGCCTGGATCGTCGCGAAGACCAGCGCCACGCAAATGGCGGCGACGCCGGCATGCTGTCCACCAAGAAACCTGTGCCAGGGGAGGTTTGGAGGCGTGAAGGATCCTGGAGCCTTACCCTAGCCCTGAAATCCTAAAACCCTAAACCGCTTACCCCCCCCAAACTGGCGGGGACAAAACCCAGGCAACCCATATCGAAACCGGAGGCCCTGGAAGGCGAGCTAAACCTTTTTCCCCAAAGCCCTCAAAGGATTCAAAACACAGAACCCCTACACCGAGGCCTAATTAGGGTTAAGTCACCATGCCAAGGATACCTTTTTGGCAGTGTTGTTTGTTAAATCCTATAGGCTCTCACTCCCCCACCGAAAGCCTGGACCCGAAACCTTGCAGCTGTCGATCTGAGGAAGGACTCTCGCACTCGTCTTTCACCACGGGAGTTAGGAGTAGGGGGACCCTTGGGGATATAGACCCTCTCAATAAGGGCCCCTTTTAAGAGAGCCAGAAGTCGGGTTCAGAAGGGACCCCTTAAAGGGTCCCCCTAATCATACTACCCACACCACCCCCTTCCTGAAACCCGTTTGCGGTTTAGGCTACAGCACCAGCGATGAGTCTTCAGGATCCTGTAATCGACGCTGCACCCTGAGCCTGCAACCCCTGAAGCTGCGAAGCAGAACACATGGGGTAGTTGTCAAAAGTAGGGCCCCTTTTGGGGTACCCTAAATACTAGGTGCCGTATGATAATAGGGACCAAAAAAGGGACCCTAATTTCGACTACAACCCACATGAAGTGCCACTGGAGCCAAGCCACGAGCCGAGTGCCCAGTACAGGCAGCTGTAGAGCCTGGTGGCTTTGGTTTAGGAGAAACAGTATGAGCTAGATTCAGCTCGAAGTTGCGGCTCCTGAATTAAGTAGTGGTGGAGGACCTTTGGCGTGGCAGAAACCTGATATCGATCATGTTCTTGGAAAACTCGGCACGTTGTAGAATACCAGTTCACTGACATGTCACGCTCACGCGGATTAGCAGCGCGCTAAAAAATTGCTCAAGCACAGTCAGAATGTTGAAAAGCTACCGTCCATATCTCCGCTTATACCCTCCTGTAATAAGAGTGCCGTACTATTCTGGGAACCTAAAAGGCCCAATTTAGAGAACTATCCATACTACCTGTCCCACATATTTACCAACCCCAATGAAGTACAAGTATAACGAAGGATCAATCGAGTCGTTTCTATGATGAACATGAAGAAAAACAATGTGAGCTGTGCACAACGGAGTTTGCAGGTTTAAGGTTCAACATGTTGCATCTGGTAATTTTGATGCCCTGAAACGTGTAGGCGCTTTGGGGGTGCTTAAGGGTCTTTCAGGGCCTAAAAAGCACGTTTCGGTGTAGGGGTTAGCGGTTCTTAGCCCCCCGCAAGGAGTTGGCCCCGCAGAAAAGGCTCACCCGGGCGTAAGCGTCGTAAGCCTGGCAGGCCGGAGGTTCCTCAATCGGGGGTTTGTGGGGATTAGAGAGGTTTCCTGTGCTTTTGAGGACCAGTTTCCATCCGCCTTCGTCAGGCTTGACGAACTCTGGCTAGGGAGGGCTTAGACTTAGGGATACTGACATCTACAAACCATTAAAAATAACCGATAAATCACAGCGACCCATGGAGAAGCACACAAGCGGCCATGAAGGACGGTCAGCTCAGGGATCTGTCGCTGGGCATGGGCATCCTCTTGGTATAAGGCTTGAAAATCCTACATTCTAGACGCCAAGACATTAAAGCTTGAACTTCGCAACCTTACATTGTACGTTCATAAGCCCTACGATAGACTCTACAACCCTTAACCCCCAACCCCAAATGCTAAGACCCTGAAGCTTAGAACTTAGAACTCAGTTTGGTATGCCAGGCTTGGCTTGTTGTTGAATGCTACCGGTTGAATGGCCGAAAGGGTGTAGGGCTGATAGGGCCTAATATTTAGATATGAGGATTAGGGAGTGTCGAATCATCGAGTCATACTGCCTCTAGGGCTCGTTTGCAGGGTTCAGAGTTCAAGGTTCATGGTCTGGGATTTACTGGCTCGATTCCGGCTGGATGTCAGGGGGCAGATGTAGCCATGTCAAGAAGGCCATCAGCAAGTGGATGGTGGTGGGGCTTCGGACTTTGAGGGTTTGGGTTTAGGTTTGGGTTGACGTTTTTGAAGGGTGGCTTTGAGGTATCTGTCGCTGTCTGTCGTGATACAGTTTCTTTACAAAAGGACGCTGAGTGAACACAAGCGTCGCTCGCAGATATCTTCTCCAGCACGATGCCCAGATGTGATCAGCGAGAAAATATGTTCGCGAATTATTTCAGTTCCCATGGTTATCCCAAATCCTGAGCCTTCGTCTGCGGGGCTGAAGCAATGTCTAATATCACCAGGGACAGAAGCAGGACCAATTGGAATTACCGGCTGAAGTCCTAACCCAGATAAATAACAAACTCCAGAGGCTAATCTTCTTGCTCTTCGGGCTTCTTCATAGTCGCAAGGAGAAGATTGGCAAGATGTGCACCCTAAACTCTAGACAAAAAGTAACACCAAAAGCTAATTCCGAAAGTGCATTGCTGCAACAAGTCCCGGCCTGCCAGTTCAGCTGCACTCGCCGGTAGAGGCGAATGTGATCCAGCCTCTCTGACGTGACCAATGCTCTGGGTTCCGAGTCGCCCAAAGACGAAAGCCTAGAGGCCTAGTCGAACCCTAGAACCCCCCGACCTCAAAGTTCAAGCCTCGTGGTATACGCATAGGGTTTTCAAGCATGAAGGAGCAGAAGGGGTTTGGGTGCTTGAAGTGTCTCGCAGCTCTGCACCCCCAGTGCCACAAGCCTTCACGGAGCTTTGTCGTACAATCTCGAAAGCGGACGGTTCGAGATATTCAGTGCCAGCACCACTAGGCTGATCGCCAAAACTTGGGATGTCAAGTTGCAGGCTTCTTAGTCTTGGATTTCAGGGAGACGGGCTTGGTTGCGGCTTACGGCCTGGGGTTCCGGAGTTTGCTGCTTTTGGCTTTTATGCCAGGCCGCATAGACTTGAAATCCTGCTTGATTCTGATGTCTGGGTTTCACGAACTGGGTTGTTGGCCATGCATCTTTGTAATTAGATGTACTGTAAGTCCCAACTTTGGGCCCGGGGGGGCTCCCTTCTTGGATTACCCCTCCAAGGCAGCGGCATCGCTGTGGGCATCACATTGTCCTGGGTGCGTGGAAGCGGGAAGCGCTAGAGGATCTTCGGACTCCCCAGCTTCTAGCTACAGATTTACAGTGGGGTTCAACATGATTCAGCTAGCAGCCGATGAACAGGTGATATTGTGGAAGCTGTTCCCTGGCTTTACGTCAGTGTGTGGGATTCTCCAGAAGACACCGCCGCTCCAAAACTCCTAGTCCTAGCTACCTTCAGCTTCAGGTCATGTTCGCAAAGCAATGTCGAACTTGATGAGCTCTCCTGTCATGGTAAAGGGGTTCAAACGTCCGTGTTCAATCAATCCTATCAGGACTGAGCTGCGGAGAAATGGCTTCTTGAGGGTTTCGGCATGTATATACTGAAAAAAGTAGGCTATCCACGGGGAGTGCTGGAGCGACCTGCATCTTCGGACAAGAAGCCTGCATGCAAGTAGGTCTGTGAAACATGTTGTATTTCGGAGTAGCGTCCGGAACACCAAAAACGGTTCTCCGGAGCCACGGATACACCCAGGCAATGACAGAAAATCATTCCCATGATCGTTACTTCCATGATGTCTGCTGACGGGTATCCGCCGGATTGCCGATGAAGCCCTTGGAGGAGGGCAGTGGCCCCATGTAGTTGACACCGGTGCCCACGCCTAGCAAAGGACGGGAGCATGCGGAGCGCGGGGGCTCTCAGGCTGATCTAGCAGGGGTGCCCTTAATAAGAAGAACAGGATTTTGAGGAACGTGAAGACTACAACTGTCTACAAGGACTATATAGCGGAGATATCCATCTCAGACCCTGATATTATCAAAGTTCCGACGGTTGACTTTCACTTTTTTGCAGCACTCGCTAGTAGTCATGATGATAGTAATGATGATGGTGATGCCAAGGCTGGGGCTGGTGGTGGTGGTGGCGGCGGTGGCGATGGTGGTGGCGGTGAGGTGAGCTAGCAGTTAAGTTGCGGGAAAGCTTCGGAGTGTCGCCAGCTGCTTTAGACATTTCACGCCTGCCCGCGTATCGTGACAGCTGCAATCCTGATTACCGGTAGCCACAGGTTTGGCACTGCCAGTGCTGTGTGCAACCAGTTTCGTACTTTGTGCACGACTGTGCAAGCTGCTGCCAATAGTTCCGACACTAAACTTCAACGACTCGAAAGTCTAAATCCACGTGCACTGCAGCGCTTGTCTGCAGTGACACCCAAGGCTGCAGAGCTGCTCGGGGCGGCACGGTACTGTCCTGTGCAGTATCTCAACGAAGCTCTCGCTAGGCCGAAGCAAAGATAGAAGCTGGCCCGTTGGTGCCGGTCGGGGCAGGTCCCCACCCGAATTTACATGGTTCTGCAGCTCCGCCTGCCCCAGAAGTCCCCAAGAATCGCATCGTGCATTCGACGATGGTCTGCAGCAAAGCATGATTGCTGTAGCATTCCTTCCAATCCCGTTCACCCGAGGCCAGGAGCTCCTCCACACACTCCTTGACGCGGGTCTCCATGTTCAATTCCTGGGCCGCGATCAAAATCTTCTTTGAGGCTTTGGCAGTGCAAATGAACTGCACGCATTCATCCTTCAAGCCCTCGATGATATATTCTTCGCTCCACTTCCGCAGGAAGCCCACTGTCTCGTCGGATAATCTCTGCAGTCGAGCACTCCCCGGCAACAGAAATTTCATGAGCACCTCGAACTCCGCGGCATCCTTGCCGGGAAGCTCGATCTCACCATGAACTTTCTCCCGCATGTCATGCGTGAGCATCTTGCGAAACACGGACGAAGCTTTCATGAGAACAGCAGCCCCCAAAGCATCAACATGGACGGTTTCGCCGAAGTCGAACTTGACCAAAATGTCCCGAAGCAGTACTTTGCCCTGCGCACTGTCATCTGCCATGGCGGATTTGTTTGGAAACACTTGTCGGACAATCTTCGGGAGTACTAGTTGGAAGCTTTACAGGCCTTTGTAATGCAGACAGGCAGCGGAAGCAAACCCCGCAATGCCTTTAACTCACACGTCTCGTGCTTTGGCCCTGCTACCTGACACCCTCAAGGCCCAAACCTGAGAAATCTTAACAACCTCATCCCTGTGGAGTTGAAATCTCTCACCTGCAGTGTACAGTCCTGACCCTGCCAAGTGCCCTCAGAACGGACCCACTACTTGGAGGATCAGGGGACTTCGTACGTAGGGTTATAAGTAAAGTAAAAGAGTATCTATATCTACTTATAACCCAACTCAGATACTTATATCCCAACTAAGGTACTTCTAACCCAGTTCAGGTACTTATACACATATACATATATATATATATATATATATATATACATATAGATAGATAGATAGGTAGATAGATAGATAGATAGGTATACTCATATATATATATATATATATTACACCCCTATATACTTCGTCCCATGATCCTCCAAGCACCCCGCGGCCACCTGAGATGCTCCGAGCCCGGTCGACCGGCCTCTGCGGGTGTCGGGTTTAAGAGAATAGGGTTTCGGGGGTATATTATACTATAGTTGTAATAAGGAACCCCTAGAAACTATTGGTAATTATTGAAGCCCCTATATTAGGGTTTTTTGCTGTTTTAAGGTTTCGGGTTTAGGGCTTCTGGTTTCGGGTTTAAAGTTTTTCGTTGGTTTAAGGTTTCTGGTTTAGGGTTTGGGGTTTCGGGTTTAAGGTTTTTGTTGTTTCTTGAGGGTTTAGGGTTTATAGGGCGTTTGTTAGGGCCCTTTTTCTTCTGCTCCAGGTTTAGGGTTTAGGGATTTGCCAGGTTTACAAGGAGCGTGCTCAGGTTTGGAGGGCTTTGCTGGTTTTTCGGTTTTCGTCGTTTGAACTGGTCTTAATTTTAGGATTTATGTACGAGTTGATGTAGGCGCCGTGCTAATGGTTCAACAGGATTCAATAGGGTGTTCAGAGGATTTAGACCAGACTGCATTGAAAGTAGAGCCCTGCGAGGATTGCGACTGTCATGTAGGACTGGCCAGATGGCGAGACGATGATTCATAGTTAGTTTCTCCGACACACTTCCCTACCAGGCAGATTTCGGTTCGACACCGCAAGCCTGAAACCGGATACCCTGGAGCACAATAATTCCTCATCCATGGACTCCGCTTCAAAAGTTCAAAAAATGCGGTACGCCGATATTATTCTGAAATAGTAGGATCTCCGCAGAAGGATTTCACTAGCCCCCAAGCACGGTACCTTTGTATGAGTGTGTATGATAAAATTCTGTTGTGTGTATACACATATATATATATACATATTATTATATTATATATGTGCACAGATATACTTGTGCCACTGTATGTGAAAGCAATCACCACGTAGCCAATCTTTGGAACCTAAGCGTAGCAAACCGATCCCTGAGTAGGAACCCTGAACATTCCAGCCCTGGTTTTGTGCTTGCGTTTGGGGCGTCAGGGTTTTAGGGTTGAGGGGTTCAGGTTGAGGAGTTTAGGATTGGGGATCTTATGGCTATTTAGGGACCCTTCGGTTTGAGGATTGCAGGTGAGGAAGGTTCGGGGCATGAAAATACGGCTGCCTGTATATTCTACCACTCCTTGAATTGACAGGGCAACGGCAACAGGAAGTGATCAACACTGCGTGAGAAGACAGCTGCCTTTGTATATTCTACCATTCCCTGATATGACAGGGCCACTGGAGAAAGGAGGACAACGGCAACAGGATGTGATCAACACCGCACCGATACTCTCGATGAGCAACCAAGTTTGTTGAAGATGTGGGTTCGGTGCTCTTGACGTCCGGTTTAGGAGTGGGCCTGGGATGTACAGCTCTTTGTCTTTGCAGCCACGGCGATAATCAACATTTGGGCTTTGTTCCACAGAGCTGTCCAACACCAAGCCTCTTCCTAGTTCAGCCTGCCTGGGAAGGACTGAAGGAACGGGAGCTCTTGCCATTCGCCCACGGCACATACTGGGATTTATTCAGCCCATATGACGACGTCAAGTTCCCCATCCAAGAAACCCATCTTGAAATCAAGGTCTAGACCCCGACTGCAACACTGGTCTTACCTACGATTACTAGCTCTACCTTGGAGCACTCAGGTGCACTCCAGGCCCCCCGCGGAGTGGTGGGGTCTTGAGTGCCGGAGGCCTCCAGGCAAGGCAGATGCACCCAAACTCCCTCTTTGGAGTCATGCAGTTGTTGCGAAATTCCCGCAGGGGTTTAGAATCGAGTCACCAGCTGCGGCCCCTAAACCCTATCGAAGCCCTAAAACCCCTAACTTCCGAGCAGGAGCCCTCGGATTCTCTGGTTGAAGCGTTCAATCTCTGGGCTTTCGAACAAGTGTTTCGGGCTTGGGGCTGAATTAGGTTTCGGGTTTGGGGCTTAAGTTTCAGGCTTTCGGGCTGGCATGCCTCCACACCAGCTCAAGCCTTGAAGCCGAGAGCCCGAATCCGGACCCCTGAAAAAAAACAGCTCTATTGCAAGAAAAGCAAACTCTCCGAAGTGCTAGGCTTATGAACCCTCCATCGAACGCTGAACCGTTCAAACCCTTATAAAGTGCTCCGGGCGGCAGCTGAAATGGTGATTGACAGGATGCTGAAAGGCAAAGCTATGTACACTACAATGTCCAAGTTCCAGGCACGATACTATAAGACTATAGTATTCTATATTGCTATAACATACTATAATATACTATAATATACTATAATATACTATAATATACTATAATATACTATAATATACTATAATATACTATAATTACTATAATATTCTGTAATATACCATAATATACCATTAAAGAGTTCCTACGATTGAAAGGCTCCCAGAGCCCCAAAGGGCCTCCGCTCCCTGAGACATGGTCGCTGCCACCTGTGCCGAAGTGCTCTCTCTCGGCGCACCTTCACTGCCGAAGGCTCGGGTTTCGGGGTTTCACGCTTCGGCGCTGTAAGTTACGAACCTCAAACCAGCAAGCCACCACAAAGCCCGTCAAGTCGCAAAGTTGACTCCCAAAGCAAAACTTACAGTAGAACTGGAAGTTGGGGCGCTGAGCTGATTCATACCTCATGTAGAACAAATCCTTGTAAGCCTCGGGAGCACTGGCAGCCCCAATTTCAGGGTTTCTGTCAGTGCACATCTCTTAGTGTTAGAAATGTAGGGGCCTAAATACTTACCAATGCTATTTTGGTGGCTCCTTAGTAGAAGTATAGTATAATGGGCTCCAAAACCCAATGCCAGCAAAGGAGTTGTGACTCAGGCTTCCGGGCCCTGAGCCCCCAAAAATATCCAAAAGCTAGGATCGGAGCCCCCGAACTCAAAACCACAAAATCGGAGTTGATGGAACGAGGGTGGGCTTTGAGGTTTAAGCCCGAAATCCTTGCAGGAGCAGTTGAACGCTGCGGTCTTAGAGGTTTACAGTACACCTTTGGGGCTTTCGGCTTTGGGCCTTCGAGAGTTCAGGATTTAAGGGCTTAACTTTGCTGTAAGCCTGCTAGGATGCGACCGATCAATATGCATTTATATCTGTATGTATAAAAAAATATTTATATATGTATATATAAATATATCATTATATATACATTATGCATAAAGACCGGAGCTGCAAAAACTCCCACCCGACAACCCATAATCCAAGCCCTTAGGCACCCAAGCCCTAAACCCCAAACGAGCCTACGATCCAAACTTTAAGCCGGAATTGGCCAAAAAACTTACCACCACCTTCTTATGATTCTAGAACCTACTTTGCTTGTCGCTCCGTCATCGCGACCTGAAAGTTTTCACCCGAAAGCGAATTTCACAAGGGCCCTGCACAAGTAGGTCGTCTCAACATAATATAGGGGCTTTAATAATTAGAACAGGGTTTTGGAGCCCGCTATACAAAAGTTATGATAAGGAACCCCAAAAGAGGTAATTTTTACGGCCATTATAACAGACGGTCCCCATAAGATGAGGACAGTAAAACTATCCGGAAATTGAGTCAGGAAACCAGGTCAAATAACAACTGACAAACCCCTTTGTTTGTTAACTCCGAACCCTGCAAGCCCTACACGTACCCGACAAAGCGCCGTCATCCCTGTAGCTGGAAAAAAAACCTAAACCCTCAACCCTGGGGGTTGCGTATTATAACTATAGTAGAATGGGCCCCAAAACCTTCTTCTAATTATTAAGGCCCCTATTTTTTTAACCCTCAACCCTGCACCACCCGACCTGCTTGCAGCACCGGAACCTTCGATGCAAACATTCGAGGCGAAACTCGGGCTTCACATAGCACGAGGGCTACGGCAACAGCTTGCGGACCAAGGCCTCATATAGGGGCCTAAAATTACTACCAATCTATCTTCGGGGTTCTTTATGAAAATTATAGTATGATGGCCCCCAAAGCCCTGTTCCAAGTATTAAGGGCCCCTAAATTCCACGGCTTCTGACGGCTTCGGGCTTCTGGGTCCGGAGCTGGGGCTGTGGTGCCTCAAGGCTTCTTGGATCTTAGGGCTCTCGGGGCTTAAGCCTTTCTTGGGCTCGGGCTTGAGGACACTTTTGAGGATTCAGCACGTCCGATTCTTCAGAAACCCTCAAGCCTACACTGCGAATCCGTAGGACTTGCGGGAAAAGGTTTGGGGATGCCTGCGGGCGCCAGGTCTTCGGAGTTCGGGCTTGAAAGATTTGAGGCCCCACATGGATTCGTCTTGGGATAGATTTCAGGACATATAAGGTTTAGAAGTTTGGGGGTTGAGTGCTTAGCGTTTGTATTCCTATTTCAGGTTCCTGCTTGTACGGATCCTACGACATGCAGAGCCTTGGTTGCGGTCGCTTGTCCTCTGACACTCCGTCATGAACGAAGAACATGCTCAGGCTCCTTTCCCTATTGACTAGGGCCCCCAAACATTTCTGAAGCTTCACATAATCTTCCCTCTAAGTCGGGAGTTTCCGAATTAGGGGACCCATGATATAGCACCCTAAGAAGTAGGAGCCTTATTCTGAGGACCCCAAAATAAGGTACCCCGCATTTTCGGAAAGTCCCATGTCAGAAGGGTCCCCTACTCGTGGAGCTCGCACGTCGGTGGAGCTGAGGCCCAGGCGCGAAAAAGCTCGCCAACGCCCCGGCCCTCGGCGGAAGCCCCCAGGGCGTTTTGGCCAGCAGGCTTGGGTTTGAGCAGTTTAGGGCTCGGGGGCTGAAAGCCTCATTTTTTTTGGGGGGGGGTTTAGGGTTTAGGGTTTAGGGAGGCCTCATTTAGGGTTGAGGCATTTAGGGTGGAGGAGTTTAGGGGTCAGGAGTTCATGTTAAGGGCCACGGGGCTGTGGAATTATGGATTTAGTGCCTGGAATGGAAGCTGCAGCGATCATCAAGCACAGTGTTCTGAAAACAGAAACATCGACTGCAGCGGTAATCGGAAGAGAACCCACACCAGTATAATGACGAACACCACACCGTGCACCGAATCTGATGGGTTGAAGAGCTACGGCTTGAAACACAGGAGACGTAGACCCGTTACTGAAGTCACGCACAAGCTTCCGCGAAGCAGGGACTAAAGATCTTAAGCTCAAAGCCCTAGTGTCTAGTGCCACCTGCGCGAACGACCTCTTGAAGGAATTGAGAAAACCATACCTCAAATCTCGATGCTGTTTCAAAGCTGGAAAATCCCGAAGTTGCGGATTCGTGGCGAGGTGAGTAGGACTGTGTAGGCAGTTGTAGGTCACGATTTAATGATGATACACTGGTACATGTACGGCACGGCTGTACCGGTGAACACTGCATGTATACATGTAGAACAGGATTTCATGCATCGTGTGTGTGTGTGTCTGTATGTGTATGTGTATGTGTATGTGTCTGTGTCTGTGTCCATGTCTGTGTCTGTGTCTGTGTCTGTGTCTGTGTCTGTGTATGTGTATGTGTATGTGTATGTGTATGTGTATGTGTATGCTGTTATGTGTGTGTACGCGTACGCGTATGTGTGTGTGTGTGTGTGTGTGTCTGTGTGAACGACTGTGTCTGGTTTCTAGCAAGCCCTGTCCACATGGACGGCCTCGTATTGAACCGCGGTGGCTGTTGCTTTTGCAACATGCGCCTGGCGAGCGAAACCACCGAACACTGCCGGCCAGAAGCTAAACAAGCCGGGACCCTAGTCAAGAGACCTTAAGAAGTAGAACAGGGTTTGCACACATAAAGTGGGAAACCCTATAAGGAATAGCCTTTCTCACAATTATCCGGGCTTCTATATTAATATTGAACTTAGGGTTTAGGGTTTAGGGTTTTTCTCAGCTCAACCCTGAGCCATGTCGGGAAGCCGCGCACGAGAGACTGAGGGCTGCCAAGTTGGGACCTGACTCACCAAACCGACAAGCCTGAACCCCTATACCCTAAACCCCTAAACCCTAAACCCCTAAACCCATAAACCCATAAACCCCTGAACCCCCAAACCTCTAAAAGTTGAATGGTGCTTTCAGCCACTTCCTTGGGTTTCGCCTCCTGAAGCGCCTTTTTCAGTGACCCTTCGTTGCGATAGTGAGGATCTCTGACTCCGCACGTCAATGCCCTCTTCTGTCCTATATACAAAGGGACCTCAATTCTTCCGGTTGCATGTTGGGTGATATGTTACTGATACTATGATCATAAAGTGCCCGACAGTACAAGGGGCTACTGATACGATCACTACCATATTTCGGGCCCTAGCACTAGTGTATTTCGTATTGTACAACCCTGGAGTCGCGCTCCGCCCCAGTCGCCTGCGAAGCGATGGGCAGTCGGATGAAGCACGTCAGAAGCCTGAAAAGGGCAGAGGGTTCAGGGCTTGGGGTTTGTGCGAGGTTGCCAAAATGACGCTGTGTAATGGTATCGTTTCCAGGCTTAGTATTACCACTAGCGCTGGATAACCTTCACCTTATCTTGGCAGTTATTATGATTTGTACTGTCACTGCTGCCATTGCGCACGAGCGCTCAAAAAAGGACTCACGGAGTTTCGGAAAACAAAGGACACCATGGTAGGCTTCCACATGCCTTTTAAGATTGAGAAGGCATGTCGTCCATACTTTGACCTGTTTCCGCACTCTCTCGAGACAGTGATGGCTCCGTCTTTGGAATGGACACAGGACTCTTTTGCGGTTTCATTTTGTTCTAGTTTTTCGGGGGTGTATATAGGACTTCAAACTCCGAACGCGCTTTTGGGGTCTAGCAGCTTCGAGATTTTGGGATCTAGTTCAGGGATCTGACTGCATCTGAACGGCCTGACACCGAAGGACTGCGCAGAGATGGATGCGTACCTGGGTAGGCAACACCCGACATGAAACCCACAACTGAACCCTAACAGTTAGCCTAACAGCTAAAAGCCGAAGCACGGTTCCAAATGTGACACATGTCGGGTTTCTAGTTCTCAGAGGCATGTGCGGGGATGCAAAACACGCTCTCACCTGGCCAAAAGCGACAAGGCAATCGACCCCAGGTCGAGGTCCATGCATAGCCAGCCAAAGGCACAGAAGCAGGTAGAAGACCTCAGGGCAGCTCGGGGTTCCCGAAACCCTGGCGAGATAGGATTAGAAGGCGAGGAAGCATGTGCCCAAGATGAGGAGCTGGGTGGGGGCACAACAGCTACTGTTCATGTTTGGCCCTTCTGCTTGGTGACAAACCCACGGGGGCGATACGCATGGTGCTAGTTTGCACGGTGTAACCCACTCAAGCTGAGGCATGCTGTGAACCAGATTCATGATCCTCGCCGGCATGGCGGATGCAAGAGAGCTGATGCGCCATGTTGTGCAGAAGTAGCCAGAGGAACTGATGCTCATGAGGCTGCCGTTCAGCTTCCCTCATTCCGTTCACCAGTGCGAACAGCTCGTAAAGCCAACCAGTTGATGCTCACGATTCCACATTGCATGGTGGCAGCAACAGCGGCAGATCCTCACTCAACGCTTACAGAGCTGATGCTCTTGATGTTTGCTTGCCTGGTGATGGCCACAACTAAGCCTAAGCAAGGGGACAGATGCTCATGATGCCTGTGGCAACTGAGGTAGCTGAAACTGGTGATGCCCTCTGGCAATCCAAGCCTGCAATGCTGATGCTGCTGATGCATGCTTGGATTTCGGAGCGGTGCGAGCTGCTTCGGCAGGTGATGCCTATCAGGCTTTTCATGTTCCATCCTTCCCTTCACCTTGAGAAGGTGGCAGAGGCGCTTTGGACGATCAGATGCTCATGATGCCCTTTTTGCCTGATGCAAACTACAACTCACCAGCAAAAGAGTTTGTGCGCATGCTGCGGTTTCTAATCGAAGCCGGTGGAGCCGATGCTCGCTTTGATGCTTTTGATGTTCGCCGGCATGATGGACGTTCAATGAGTTGACACATATGATGCTCATTTGCACTGCTCAGCAGATCTTGATTCTGCCTCGCATGGTGGTTCTCAATGCTCAAGATGCTTGCATGTTCGTGATCGTCCGCAGTTTCCTCGTCTGTGCTCTCGACCAGACCATGCCGAAAACCCCTGCTCCTCTCCGGCTCAAGACGAGGGCCTGGCACCGGAGGCAAGGCTCATAGCATTCCTGGGCTGCGCATGGGCAGGAGCGAAGCGTGTTTAAGGGTTGGAAAAGGGGACAACACATTGCATTGGGATGCTAGGGCTGCAAGGCCTATGCTTTCACAACCCAGTCTCCCACATGCAGCCTCGGTGCAGTGCGACGGCCCACTCTGGCGACCCCAATGGGAGTGCCTGCGAGGGACAGGACCAAATTTAGAGCTGGGGTTGCCCATTCAATTTTTCGGCACGAACCTTGACGTCCTCACTCATGGCCTTGACGACTTCGGGGTTTGAACACAGGCGTGAAGAATGCTGCCGTTGAGCCAACGTGAAACATTGAACCCAGGCTTACAAGATCCCTAGGTCCTAAACCCTCATGTTTTCATACCTTCAACCTTAGACCCCCTTTAACTGAAACCCTCAACAAAAACATTTTGGGCTTCTTGGAACCTTAGGCTTTGGGGCTGCTACCAAACGGCAAGCAATGCAGGAGTATGACAGCAGTATTGAAAACCTGAGAAGACAATTTTCAATTGGACCCTGCACGAGCATACTCTGCGCTTGCCGGGCGCTGTGCTTGTCTGGCACTCATGTGAAACATGCGCAAAACTTGACATCGAAACCAGGAAATGCTTGCCTGAATAACGCACCTGAGCTATGACCACCTGCTCGCGAGTGTACTCAGATGTCTTTACATCCGTCACCCACAGTGTGAGTCATTGCGTCCAAGAGTCCAAGAGTCATTGCATCCAATACTCACGAACCAAAAGTCAGTTTGGTCGTACTCCTGAGAACCGTCTCCAAGAGTTCCCGTCTAGTGGCGTCCCACACTAGGTAACTCCTGACTTCCGGCGATGGGCCGTAAGGAATGCAGCACCCGCTTGTACTTGTAAGCATGAGTTACAGCTAGTCGCTGCTGCTTGAAATAGCAACACAGCGGTAGTGCGAGCAATGTATAATTCCAAGTGTAGAGAGGCTGTGCCTCAAGAGAATGATTGCAGGCTGTGCCTCAAGAGAATGATTGCGTGGCGGTGCCAGCAATACTGTTTAGTAGCGTCGGTGGCTTCGTTTGCGCCACCGTTTGGCACGAACAGTTAGCTGTTCCCGTGGTTTGGGTGGCGCGCTGCCCAGTCATGAACAATGCGCATTCCCTTCGAGGGCCTCTCATATTTGACCATTCGCGAGTAGAGGCCTGCGGACTCGGCTGCCTCGTTGTAAATCGTCTTGATGGTAGTAGCAAACAAGTCGAAATCCTCATAAGTGGGAAAAAGGGCCTCCATGTCCTTGTGCAACCACATCTGCCTGAAAAGGGCGCCTACCAGCCCATGAATCTTCGTGGGAGTCTCCAGCTCCTTGTAAGTAGAACCTCTGCCAGTGGCGATGGCAACGTTGCCCTCCGCAGTCAATACTTGGCGTGCAGACATTGCTATGGTCCAATCCAATCCATTCTTGGTCTTGACCTTCGCGATCGACTTGAAAAGGTTTGGCACCCTGCTCAGTGCCATGATTCTGGCCTCCCAAAGAACCTTCTGCTCCGCGGCCGTCAAGCCTCCGATGATTGCCGGGGATCCAAGGACATTAAACTCCGCCAGCGCCGTAATCCAGGCGTGCATTGCCGGGGACTCGCACATCTGAACCACTCGCTCTTTGGTCGGCTTCTCGTCCGACTCTGGAAAAGGCTGTGCCTTATGGTCCTGCAATGGCTTGGGAGGCGCATATGACGATGCAGGCCACGGTAATGCCGGTGGTGTGTGATCCCGCACTGGGGGGCATGTCTTGGCCGTGGTCTGGGAAGTGGCGGTTGGACTTAGGGCGGGAGAAACTCGGTCTACTCGCCTCACCTTAGGTGCCGGTGGAGTAGGCGGTCGGACGCGCCCCGAGTCCAGAGCACGTGCTTTCTGAAACACTCGCTCTTTGGTTGGCTTTTCGTCCGACTCTGGAAAAGGCTGTGCCCTATAGTCCTGCAATGGCTTGGGAGGCGCATATGACGATGGAGGCCGCGGTAGTGGCGGTGGTGTGTGATCCTGCGCTGGGAGGCGTGTCTTGGCCGTGGTCTGGGAAGTGGCGGTTGGACCTGGGGCGGGAGAAACTCGGTCTACTCGCCTCACCTTAGGTGCCGGTGGAGTAGGAGGTCGGACACGCCCAGAGTCCAAAGTACGTCCTTTGCTTTCGCACCCGGCGCTGCCCGGCGCATGACTGTCTTTGACAATGCCCTTCAACTCCTGAACTAGAAGAGCGTACCGCGGCCCGTGCTCTGGTAGTAGAGCCATGCGCAACTCGGAAGGCGAACCACAGTGAGGCTAACCCAGTCGGCTGCAGGAGTGATGCACGAAGAGCGTGAGGTGTGTGTGTGTGTGACCTAACCGGCAAGAGTGCTGTGCCCCACGCACGGTCAGGCTCTGCATCATCTAAACAGGCTTCGACTCCGTCAGCTGCAGGAAGAGTAGTCGTGACAGAAGGAGCAGTGGTGCTGATACACTAGTCTGGCTGGGAGCCGGCTCGCATTTTGCCCCAGCGCCGAGTTGACTTGTTCTGTACATGGTCGGTGCAGCAGACGAGACATTCACAACACCGATCGCAGCAAAAGCTACTGGAACCCCAACCCTGGAGCACGTTACCCTGAACCCTAAACCCCAGCGTGACCTTGGCTGTGTGTTTCGTCTCGTGGGCCGAACTGTACAAGTTCTGCGGCCAGACAGATCCAGCACTCGATCGATTGGAGCTTCAAGCTTCGGTGAGGGCTTTGTTCCCGCATCTACGCACGCCCTCCTCAGCTTCCGTCAGGCAGCTGCTCCTGCACTTGAGGTTTGGGATCCGGTGAGTGAAGTGAAGGGCCCTTTAACCATCTCTTATAGCACCCCTCTAGATCCCTTATCCTCTTGCAGAATCTTTGTTGGCAAAACCCCTGTAGAATGTTGAGGTCGACATGCTCCGGGCATGACTCCTACAAGGGTGCCTGTGCTCTCCAATCCGTCAGCCAGCCCTGAAACCTAACACTCCAAGACTCTAGGGCAATTCAGGGTACAGGGTTTAGAAAGTGCTTAGAATTTCAGATTTAGCGTTTCGCAGAGAAGGCTCCACGCTAAACCCTCTCAAGCCCAGCAGGACTCAGGAGTTTGCAGGGTTGAAGGAGATTTAAGGTGCGGGGTTCAGGGCTTCGGTAGTTTGCCATACACCGACACCCATTGTCCTCAACCCCAGATCAGGTTGAACAAGGCATGTCAATTGCAAAGGGGCTTGGGAATGTAGATGAACTTCATGCAGGTTGGAATACGGCTTCGGGATATCGATGCATACGTCGGGGCCTTAATAGCTACTGGGCGGGATGGCATTCCGTAAGTCCTTAGAGTTCCTTCATATAGCAGTATTGTCTAACACAACAACCTTTTCTAGGTGTTCAGGCCCCTAGATGCCCTGGATTACATGGATGGTTGTCAAAATTAGGGCCCCTTTTCGAATACCCTAAATATTAGGTGCAGTAATATAATAGGGACCTAAATATTAGGTGCCGTCTCATAATAGGGACCCAAAAAGGGACCATAATTTTGACAACCGCCCACATGCATCTGCAAAGCTTCCGGGGGGAAAGACGCGATCTCCTCGGCGACCTCGGTGCCCCAGAACCTGGCTGCATCTGCCCCACCACCCGGGCTTAGGCGCGCTCAGCGGGGGCTTCAAATGGACATGGAAGGGGCTTAAGAGGGGGGAAAACATGGGATTTAGGGCTGAAGGAGTTTATTCAGGGCTTCAGGCAGAAGATGTAAGGGTTCTGGCTGTTAGATGAAGGGTTCATGTACTAAGGCAGAAACCTCCTTAAGAGCCGAGGCTAAACCTGGTAATTTCAACTCCGCCAACCTACGAGTCCTTAACCTTTTAACTTTTAACCCTAAAACCTAAACCCCTAAACCCTAAACCCAAAGCCCTGGAGAAGACATCTGCCTAAACCCGGCGCCCAATGCGCTTCAGGGACTTTGGACCTCGACCCTAACTGCACCTGGGCCCTTTTTTAGAAACCTGGCTCCTGAGTGGCTCCTTAATAATAAGTAATAAGGGTACCCTTGTTCCGACTGTTTGGGTTTCATAGGGGAACCCCACTGCTACGGCTGCGTACTGGAGTTTCTGGATTAACTGGACCCGATTCAAGACTTCAAGACAACCATTATCGGTTTGCCCCACTCTGCATTGTCAGGGCCCGAATAAATTAACACGTTCTACGCATCAATCTTCTTGCAAGCGGCTGAGGCCCCTTCGCCACATCTTAAACCGTTAACTCAACTCAGCATACATATCAAAGCTTGAGCTGCTTATAAAAACCCTACAGACCCCTTGTGACTGCAAAACAACATGGTGGAAAAAAATGAGCAAAAAGACGAAACCAGCCTGCACAACTCTGCTGGCGTCTCGAAGGGCTTCAGCACCTGAGGGCAGGAAGATTTAGGGTTGGCGGTTTCACCTCACCGCATGAAGTCTGGTGCGGTGAGCCTTCGCTCCGCGTCGGAAACCCATTCTCAAGCTGCCCTGACTCCGAAGGGTCGTGCCTCCAGCGACGACACCACGGGGGCTGTTCCTGCGCAGTGAGGCTACGGCTAGGCGTGTACTGCCTAGGAGCGACGAGGGTATTCAAGGCCAAACTAACCCCTCAGCATTAAACCCTGATGGGTACTGCTTAATAGCGAGGAGGGTATGCAAATTTAGATTAAGGTTTAAGCCCCAAACCTCAAGCCTTGACGGCTCGGGTCTACAGGTTTGGCCCCCCCTGACCCCTTCATTCCCGAAACTCATGAGCAGGCAAGAGCCCCACCATGGAGCCGGACGCCACAATTTGTAAGGGACTTCACAAATAGACTAGGGCTTTGGGAGTAAAAACATATTATTATGGTTCCAATCGGGACTATCAGGAAAAATCTGATGTTGCGAACATTCTGTTGAGAAGCAGGCCCGTCTTGGAGTGGTTTGGGAAGCCTCGCTTCGGGCAACGTGCATTCAGCCTAAAACACTGTTGTCTTGTCACTCACATCCCCAAGCACATGCCCACTTCATCTCAGCGGTGGAATTCGAACGCTCCGGCACAAATCTCAGCAGTCACCCTTCACAGCACAAACCTCATCCGACAGGATATATCCAAACATCCCAAACATCCTTCAATAATCGCAAATGCTTCGCCCAAAAAGACTGCAGGATGTGTCTCCCCACTTCAGGCGATATCACTGCTCGCTTGCGCCGGTAAAAACCGCGGATCGCAGTTTAGGGTCTGACATCTCGATGTTCCCGACAACAAAATTGATAGCCGATCCATTGACCCGGGTCGCAGCGAAGGATCCACAAGCACCGTGGATGCGCAGCAAACTTTGCAGCCGACCCTGAACAGCTCTGTCGCAGAGACCCAGGAAAATTAAAGTTGTTGCGGTTAAAAAGCTCTAGGAGCTTTGTAACCGCAACAACTTCAATCACCACCGATTCATCAGCCAGGACGCAGCAAAGGATGTGCCAGCAGAGTGCAAACACGCAGTATGTGCAGCACTCCCTGAACGGCTCTGTCGCTGCCACATTCAGGAATGACCCAGGAAAATTAAAGTTGTTGCGGTTAAAAAGTTCTAGGAGCTTTGTAACCGCAACAACTTTAATCACCACCGATTCATCAGCCAGGACGCAGCAAAGGATGTGCCAGCAGAGTACAAACACGCAGTATTTGTGCAGCACTCCCTGAACGGCTCTGTCGCCGCCACATTCAGGAATGACCCAGGAAAATCAAAGCTGTTCGTCAGCCGGCACGCAACAAAGGATGTGCCAGCAGAGTGCAAACACGCAGTATTTGTGCAGCACTCCCTGAACGGCTCTGTCGCTGCCACTTTCAGGAATGACCCAGGAAAATTAAAGTTGTTGCGGTTAAAAAGCTCTAGGAGCTTTGTAACCGCAACAACTTCAATCACCACCGATTCATCAGCCAGGACGCAGCAAAGGATGTGCCAGCAGAGTGCAAACACGCAGTATGTGCAGCACTCCCTGAACGGCTCTGTCGCCGCCACATTCAGGAATGACCCAGGAAAATTAAAGTTGTTGCGGTTAAAAAGCTCTAGGAGCTTTGTAACCGCAACAACTTTAATCACCACCGATTCATCAGCCAGGACGCAGCAAAGGATGTGCCAGCAGAGTGCAAACACGCAGTATTTGTGCAGCACTCCCTGAACGGCTCTGTCGCCGCCACATTCAGGAATGACCCAGGAAAATCAAAGCTGTTCGTCAGCCGGCACGCAACAAAGGATGTGCCAGCAGAGTGCAACCACGCAGTAGTTGTGCAGGCGACCCTGAACGGCTCCGTCGCTGCCAGATGCAGGAACGACCCGGGAAAATTAACGTTGTTGCGGTTAAAAATCTCTAGGAGCTTTGGAACCGCAACAACTTTAATCACCGCCGATTCATCAGCCAGGACGCAGCAAAGGATGTGCCAGCAGAGTGCAAACACGCAGTATTTGTGCAGCACTCCCTGAACGGCTCTGTCGCTGCCACTTTCAGGAATGACCCAGGAAAATTAAAGTTGTTGCGGTTAAAAAGCTCTAGGAGCTTTGTAACCGCAACAACTTTAATCACCACCGATTCATCAGCCAGGACGCAGCAAAGGATGTGCCAGCAGAGTGCAAACACGCAGTATTTGTGCAGCACTCCCTGAACGGCTCTGTCGCTGCCACTTTCAGGAATGACCCAGGAAAATTAAAGTTGTTGCGGTTATAAAGCTCTAGGAGCTTTGTAACCGCAACAACTTTAATCACCACCGATTCATCAGCCAGGACGCAGCAAAGGATGTGCCAGCAGAGTGCAAACACGCAGTATTTGTGCAGCACTCCCTGAACGGCTCTGTCGCCGCCACATTCAGGAATGACCCAGGAAAATTAAAGTTGTTGCGGAGCTTTGTAACCACAACAACTTTAATCACCACCGATTCATCAGCCAGGACGCAGCAAAGGATGTTCTAGCAGAGTGCAAACACGCAGTATTTGTGCAGCACTCCCTGAACGGCTCTGTCGCCGCCACATTCAGGAATGACCCAGGAAAATCAAAGCTGTTCGTCAGCCGGCACGCAACAAAGGATGTGCCAGCAGAGTGCAACCACGCAGTAGTTGTGCAGGCGACCCTGAACGGCTCCGTCGCTGCCAGATGCAGGAATGACCCGGGAAAATTAAAGTTGTTGCGGTTAAAAAGCTCTAGGAGCTTTGTAACCGCAACAACTTTAATCACCACCGATTCATCAGCCGGGACGCAGCAAAGGATGTGCCAGCAGATTGGACCCGCGCAATATTTTTGCGGCCGACCCTGAGCGCCACTGTCGCTGCCAGATTGAGGAAGGACCCAGGCAGCTTAAAGCTGTTGCGTCAAAGAAGCTGCGGCAGCTTTGAGCTGCACCAAGTGGAACGGCTGGAGGTCAGCAAAGAACTGTCTTCCAGAGCTTCATCACATGCAGCCGAAAGGTCAAAAGCAACACATTGGCCTTCGTGGAAGTTGTCACTTTCACCTACTTCCGTCATCCGACTCCAGTAGCCAGACCGCCCCACATGAGCATCCTGACTCCACCTGCGGAAAACAGACAGAGATCAGGACAAGGACGGCTGTGGGGCATGGCGCCATTCACGCCTCTACATTCGGCATGTCGATGCACAGGTGGAAGGTCCGTAATTCGGGATGATTTGTCTCAACTGCCGGAAGCTTGGGCAAGAAATGGGATCGGTGGCGCGTTTATCAAACATGGTCGTTCTTTCCTGCTTCACTCTTTGTGAAGCCAAGTTCGCATTTAGGGCGCTTGGTGCAAGTATTCTCCCAAATAGTCCAGTTCAAGCAAAAAGCGCTTCAGCTAGTTTGAGGCGCTTGGTTTCAGACCAATACTTCATTACTTTTTGCAAAAGGCTCCACCCAGATCCCCGGGAGGATCTATAAAGTAGATCTCCTAATGGGGGTTCCTACAAAGTACCCTTAGTAGTATAGGCCCCCGAGTTAGCCCCCCGGATCAAGCCATGCAGAAGAGAGCCTCCCGAGTTCAGGCGATAGCCCAGCACTGCTGGGGCGAACCTGCAACGGACCGAACTTCGGACTTCAATCTTCCGGGTGCCTGAAGAAGCCTATTCCATGAGCTTCCTTTGGTACAGGTAGGCTTTAAGGCCCAAGTATAAGGTTCGAAGGCTACAAACAACAAACGAGCTGCAACAGGCTCGAGCTCAAGAATAGAGGCTCAGGAAGCTGAAATGCAAAAGCTCCCTGAAACTTCATGCTTCAGGGCTTGGGGTCTTTAGAGTTCATGGTTGATTCAAATTATTGCAACAGCCCCAAAAACCCACTGATTCGATGTAGGGCCGGTCCAAACCTGACACCACCATCTCTACGACGACGACACGATGACTGCAAATATGACTACCACGACGACAGCGACGACCACTACTCCTACTACTACTACTACTGCTACTACTACTACTACTACTACGACTACTACGACTACTACGACTACTACGACTACTACGACTACTACTACTACTACTACTACTACTACTACTACTACTACTACTACTACTACTACTACTACTACTACTACTACTACTACTACTACTACTACTTCGACGGCCCTGTGTTGGCGGTGGCGACGACGATCGCGGCTGCTCCACTACCGGCACCACCACGACGAAGCTACAACGAGAAGCAGCAATAACAGTGATGATGATCGTCCTACTAACCTGAGTCATACATGGGAGTTTCAGAGAAGAGTAGAACCTAAGAAAAACAAATACAAACCACTGGCTACAAGGACGAAACGGGACCTGATCGACATTTTTACCCCGACTTAGGCCCCTACTTGCGCCCCTATTTATTTTAGAAACTCCAACATGGCGCCTGGAGCAGTGGCGGCTGAACAGGGACAGTGTGTTACTGCCGGCCTGGCTGAACATCAAAATTAAAGGCTCAGGCTCCAGATTGCAGGGTCTTGCATGGAGCTAAGGCTGCGAGGGTGGGGCGGGCAATGGCTTACGAGCATGCGAATCGGCGGAGGCCTGGCAGCAGAAAATAAGCATTGCAGGGTGATGACTGATAGGATGAAAATCCGCACCAGAACTGCCACGGATATGTCGTGTGCTAGCTTAGACTTAGGCCGTGACTGACCGTGCCAAGACATGGAAAGAGGGTGGCGGACCAAGAACAGAGCGAAGAAAGCACAAACCGAAACAATGCCAGCACAACTCAAGTATGCATCGCTGAGAGCTGGCTTGATGCTGCAGATTTTGCCGCGGTGATTGGTTCTGTACATAGTAGGTGCAGCCGACGGGACAAAAACAGCAACCCCTGTAGCTAAGCTGAGCTGGACCTTAACCTAAAGCATCTTTGCATGCCTGTGGTCTCGACTGTGTATTTTGTCCCGTGGGCCGGACTGTACAATGTCCGCGGTCGGACAGACCCGGCACAGGATCACGTAAGTCTCCCGGTTTGTCACAGAAGTTTTTTCTGCTACAGGAGCTCAGGAGGGCTCAGGTGGGTGCTTGGGCGAAGTGGTGCTAGTTGCGCGCAATTTTCCACTGATCAAGTTCATGTGCCATTCACTTCCGACTAATATGTCCAGCACTACTGTTCAAAACAAGGTTGTGATATTGACAACTGTATACGAAGAGGACAAGGACGATTACCAGAACTCATGACAGCTGAAGAATGCCGCTGCTACTGAGACTGTTACTGCTACTACACCACTACCTGCTGCTGCTGATGCTGGCGGCGGCGACGTCTTGGTCGTGGTCATCGTCGTTGTAGTTGTTGTTGTCGTTGTCATTGTTGCTGCGTTTGTTGCTGCTGCTGTTGTTGCTGTTGCTGCTGCTCTAGCAGTTCTGTACTTATATCAGCGTCTTACTTATATCAGCGTCTTCGGGTTTACCATCCGTTGTCGTCTGTGAAGGGAACGATGGTGAGTCGTACTGCAGGCACCAGCACGATGCCGCATGTGAATGTATCCATGCTCCTGCAAACCTGAATACTAGGGCTAAAGGCAGACGCAAACATGAGCTACAAGTATCTAACGGCCCAAAATGTCCCTGCCTCTCTCCTCGAAACAGGGCTGCAGAGGTTGGGTAGACGAGAGTAAGGAACGACGGAAGGCTCCCGGAGCATCCAAGTGGCTTACGGTTCGGAAACTTGGGCTTCGAGGCTCATGTAAGCGCACTCCGCGCCCCTTCCCTCGTTCAATACTGTACAGGTCTACCCACTACGTCAACGCCTCAACGGGCAGTGTGGTCTTGCTTGCATCGGAGCGAATTCGCGAAGTTTCGCCTGGTGCTGCGGCGGTTCGTCTGGGAGGTGAAGGTTTTCATCGGTGTCTTCACAGGAATTTTTAAGTGAAGTCTGTACCCTGTACAGCTATGCTAGTGGGGTTTTGCAATTGCTGTCTCGAAGGATTGCGTGACAAATTTGTGATAGTAGCCCTCCTCAACCCTGACGCTTCACAGCCCTCATAGTATGACCTGTAGAATTTTTTATTATGCCTGTATTATTATATTTAATATTATTTTTAGTACCTGTACAGAACCTCAAGCCCCTCTACTAGACTGCATCCGAGGCACGGTGCACCAGCTCAGTCACGCAGAGACTGCGCCATGTCCTTGCAGGTGTTCAGGGCCTTGGGCTTATAAGCTCCATGTGGGCGGCTGTCAAAATTATGGTCCCTTTTGGGGTCCCTAATATAATACGGCACCTAATATTTAGGGTACCCAAAAAACAGGCCATATTTTTGACAACCACCCATGTCAAGTATGGGGAAGTCACTGGGTTTTTGACACCCTCTGTTCACAAAAAATTCGCTCGCAGGGGCATCCTAAATGAGAACCGCTGGACAGCTGCCCACAAAGCCCGGATCTTGTGAACGACCGTAATGGTAGGATCCTCATACTTGCCACATACATTTTGATGCAGCTCAGCCTCCTGGCATGTGTCTTGCCCTAAAAGCCTGCTTTCGTACACGAGTCTACGATGTAATTTCTACAGTACGAATCTCCGAAAACTCAAAACTAGAAGCTTCCAATGTCCTCAACATTTTCTTGGTAGGAACACGTAACCCGAAACCCACAAAATCAGAAACTCTCAGTTCAAAAACCCCTTCAAAATCCCAAGACACAAACCTCGAGGCCTTAAACCCTGGCTGGACCCCTGAACCCAAAAACCCCTAGACCCCTAAACCCTAAACCCAAAAAACCCTAAACTCCTAAACCCAAAAACCCCTAAAACCCCTAAACTCCTAAACCCAAAAACCCCTAAACCCCTAAACCCAAAAATCCCCCGACGTCCTTCAAAAAGAGGCTGCCGAACCGATCGGCCTCGGGCCCCGGAACGAGTAGCAAAACAGAACGCGTCAGAATACGGTTTTAGGGTTTAGGGTTTAGGGTTTAGGGTTTAGGGAACGCGTCAGAATACGGGCCTGCATTTGTGTATAATTGTGTTTAGGCTTTTATGTTGTGTAAATGTCCAGCAAAAAGCTTTGGGTAATCTAGAACCTGGTCATTATTAGGGTTTAGGGTTTAGGGTTAGGGTTACTATACTATACTATAATCTAGTTATGGTCGGAATACTATTCTATAGTCGAGTTATGGTAGAGGACCCCTCAAGGGCCCTTGAATGGAGTCCTTACGGCCCTTCATAGCGGGTATTTGGGGTACATTAGAGGGTAGTTGGGGGGTCTAGGTAGCTAGGGAACCTATACTATACTGTAGCTGCAAAAAGGAGCCCTTAGGAATAGTGGTACTCTATTCACTTCGGCCTATAAATAAAGACGTTTTGGGGCTTCACAACTCCAGGAATTTCAAGCTCTAAGGTCGGGTTCGAAGTATGCCATGTTAGGGTTCGGGCTTTGGGGTGAAGCGGAGGAAGCCGAGCTACATCTTCGGTGCAGGTGCAGCGGAATAGACCATCTGTTTGGAAGGATCACTGTCGACGCTGTAGCAAGTAAAATTATGATTACACCACATATTGCGAGATACCGAAGCGCCCGTACTACGTCGCGCTAAGATCCACCAATCAGGATTCGGAGTCTTGGTTCTTGAAGCCTAGGGCTTAGAGTTTCGGGCCAGCCTGAACTTTCCAGGGCCTCTACCACCAAAAACAGGGCGAGTTATTGAACCCCACCCCCCCGCCCCCGCCCTCCCCGAAGATTCAATCTCACGGTAGAGTTTATTGTGGCGGAGCATCTTGAGCATTTATGTCTCCACGTTTCGGAGGATGCAGAATCCCGAGCCGTAATCTCGTCAAGCCATGAAACGCCAGACCAAAACATCCCCAACGGTCCGAAGAAGTCATAAGCCTTGGTTAGAAGACCCCCCAAAGAAGGATCCGACCTACACCAAACACCTGCTAAACCCCCACACAGCAGATTGTTAGAAAGGTAAATGAACCTTTGCCAAACAGTTCGGAACATTTCCAATCATTCCCAGCACCACCCCAAAAGCCCCCGAGTCCCTCGGTCGCCTCGAGTCCGGCTCGGAAGGGGAAGATTAGCCTCTGGCATCTGTTACTCGGGCTGCTTCTTCCTTATACCGTAGTACACCACCCGCAAGAAGTAACCCTAAACCCTAAACCCTAAACCGGGGATCCCCCACCACGCCCTGAAGTGCGGTATTCGTTGCTAGTCGTGGGCCTCGGGGTCGATGACCGAAGACTCTCAAGTACAGTATCTCAGCTGAGACATCGATGTAACACCCCCCTCCAAGTACATCAAGTCATTAATGTTGACCTAGGATTAATAATCCCCCTACGATTAAAGGCGGCCTGCGGGCGGCTCCGGCCCCAATCTGTACTACTTTAAAGGCAGCACCCAAATAAGGATCGTTTTTTGCAGAAAACCCCCCACGATTAAAGGCAACACCGTCTGGGGATCTAAAATTTCAAAAAGTGCTTCGAAGACTACTTTTAAAGGGGGGCAAGACTACATTTAAAGGGCGTCTTGTCCTTTTTCAAGCGGTTCTTTCAAGGGCTACTGCTACTGCTACTGCTACTGCCACTGCTACTACTGCTGCTACTACGACTACTACTACTACTACTACTACTACTACTACTACTACTACTACTACTACTACTACTACTAGCACCACTGTTTACTGCAATTTGGCTTCACGGGATTATTTGGGGGTCTGTGATCCTGTGGGGGGCCTGCGACCTTGACAACCTTGAGGGGGGGGGGGCGGGGGGGGGGGTTATTAATCAGGGGTCAACATTAAGTTAGGAAAGGGTGGTCTTTAGTACCTCAGTATACCTTGTCAAGGAAATCGCAAGAGAGCCCTTAACGAAATCCTTAAAGACCCTATTGAACATCTTCAGAGCTCAACGACCTCTCGAACTCCTCGGCGCCCCAGACGGCGTACCAGCGCGGGTCCTGCGCCCCCAGGGTGCATCTCTGCGCCCTAATTAGGGTTCCTTCCATTACAAAAAGTTATATAGCGACCACTATAGGGATCCATTCCCCCATTCCGTACTAAGCACCAGACAGTACATTAGAACATCCGGTTTCAAGTTTCATCCCGCTGGAACATTTCTGCTCCTTGAGCATCGTCTTCGCGACATGCCGGCCGTACCTTAGCTCAGACGCTTCGACAGCAAACAGAAGGAAAAAGTGCCGACTGGATTGCCGAAGCTACAAGCCTATCCCCAAGTGGATGCTCAGTCAACAATGCTGAACAAGAACATGCAGCCAGCAACGGGACAATTGAACGCTTGCTATACGAAGGAAACCAATGCAACAATGGCGGTGGCGGTGGTGGTTGTGGTGGTCGCAGCCGTGGGACGTTGCGCTGTGACAGCGCAGTTTTGTGCTCCGACGACTCACTTCCACAACAACGAAATCATCGCCACGTTGGAAGCAGTGCAGCAGACATGGAAGCAGTGCAGCAGACAAACTCCTCAACCACCAAAC